CGCATTCAGGCTTTTGCAAGAGTTGCAGTGAAGGGAAGCGGCCCATGATGATGTTGCATGGAATAAGGTACGTGAGAATCATGCGTTTCTGACTGACAGCCTGGCGGTGACACTGGTCGTAGGCAGCGTGCAATGCGATCTGCGCAGGATAGAAGAGGTTGTTGGAGAACAGATAGCGCCCGAGGTAATATAGATAAGTGACTCGCTGAGAAGCCGGGAAGTATTTCAGAGGCGGTGATTGGGCACTGATGCTGGCGAACATTTGTTCCGCATTTCGCAGCTTACCGCACTGTATGACTGTTTCAGTTGATGTGTACTTGATAACGATAGACTGTATGTCGAGGGTAAATGCACACCTGAAAGAGTAGTTTCAAGCACAGATTGGCCATAAGATAGATCCCCACTCGCTTGCCCTCAGGCTTTCCATGAATCCCTGGGGTGCCGCTACGATCGGTAAGGCACTTGATGAAGGCTTCACGGACAACATTTGCAGACTGCTCCACCAGGGTGACTTTCTCGACGCTCTCTTCCTGGTTCGAACTACCCTCCTGCCTCAATAAGTGTGCAATCAACTCCGGCCGACGGTCCAGACCCATTGCTAGCTTTGCAAGGACTTTGGACAAATAGAGGACGGTCGGTAGCACTATAACACCCATTTGACTGCCGCCGAGAGCTATGACGCATTGGCTGTTTGGTTCAAAAAGGTATGAATCAGTTATCGCGTCACGAAACCGCAATATCGGTGAGAGACTCGCCAGTGAACCGGGTCGAGACAAGCGGAAAATAGACGGCCGCGACTTACTTGAGAAGCCCCTTGAGCAGGTTGTAAGTCTCGAGGAGATTGTCGACATTGACATCGCGAAGAAAGCTAAAGTATAGCTTCATAAAGGTAGGGAAAGCCGCCCACGAGCTAGCTCCTTTGGTACGCGGCACAACCTCTTCGCATCGTCGTAATAGGTTTGCTTCTTTTGGCGATCCGCTGGGATACTGTTGCCGCAGCTCGTCCACCATTTGTCGGTACACGTGGGGTAGAGGAGGCTCGATCTGCAAGAAATCCTGAAGCTTGGCTCCATCGCGCTCTTTCACAAGATCAGTGATTCCTGCTAGGAAGCGATCCAATACAGGAGTGCCCTGGCCCGCCATAGTTGGCAATCGCGAGAAGCAGCAATAGGAGGAATAGTTTACGTCGGAAAGGTGGTGGGCAGTTTCAAGCTGTTGGCGACCATGGGAGCTCGGCGGTCGTATGAACTGTGAGGAGAGTAAGGAATTATCGACAAGAGCCCATTATTCTCACTATGCAAAGAATGAATCGAAGTCGTAAGCAGCGCAAAGAATGTGGTTGATCGCGTCTCTGTGGCAGAGACTTGACGACCGTAAAAGAAGCGGAAGAAGCTCCGGAGTTTAAGCTCTTTGTGGTGGGCGGAAGAGACGATAACTGACCGCCCGTAAGGACCTGTGAATTGCCTTTTGTGGTTAGTTCTACTGTTTGTTTTGGGAGCCTCTATCGACAGCGACAAACCCCCTTACCGTCAAGTACGGAATGGCTTTACGACCTGGATACAATGAGAGCATCGGAATCTCGACAATATACGTGCGGTCTTGATCACATGTGTACACGATTATCCTGCCTCTCCGGGCCCTATAATCTCAGGTGCACTTGATCTTTCGTATTGCAGATCATGGACTGCCCTGGGTCAAAAACATCTCGATAGGAGAATTGCAGAAGACTGCCTCTTCACGAAGCAATCTAGCCTGGCTAACTTGATATAATGTACTAAGAATTCAAGACAGCTTCGCTTCTCTGCTAGTGCAACAACTATGAAATATAAGGTACATATCTCAGGTTTGATTCCTGCTCTTTCGAAGCGAGGCTCTCCAAGGGCCTATTGCTTGCCATGTTTCAGAATCTCACCATCTCAGCACGTGCATTTTTATAGTAGTAAGAAACGAGCTTTTGGACATTGAGCTAAGAGCTTAGGCGCTATCATGAACTTGTTATGATGGCGAGTCGTCTGCACTATCCATTGAGATAGACCTTCATTGGTCTGCCTACCCCTGGTGAGTATCGTCGAAATGCTGTCAGACTGGTTAAAAATAACGCAGCCATGCAAATATCTTGCGAAACATTGATGCTGGCGTTGTGGGACGAGAACAATCACAGGCAAGAGCAAACAACTTTCACATGAATGTGGGCCGCTCATCTACGTCATGCTTGGACCACCACCAACACCAGAGCAGGACAGGGCAAGACCTGGCTCAAAATTCAATTGAAAAGAAGCTTGACTCTCCTGCTTGTTTTACTTTTTGTAAACAATTCCTTCAATGCTACCTTCGCTTTCTTACTATCTTTCTATCTGAGGCTCGTTGAACTGTCGTTCAAGTGGTCAATTCATTGGCTTCTCCGGCGCTGACGTAGTATTGGCCTTTACTATAATCTCGACTGCCATACAGAGAAGGTCGCAATATTCCTAGAGGTTAGCTTTCATCTGCTATGGCTCAATCAAAAGCCAAGTCCACAATTGTGGACTTCATCAGAAATCCTTTCCTCGAGGTGTTCGCTTTATTCTATATGCTATTCCAGGGTATCCTCACCTGGGTTTTCTCTCCTGCGCCTCCGCCTCCAGCATCAACTGCCAATGGTCTTCCCAAGAAAAGAGTGGCTGTCATTGGTGCCGGCTTGACTGGAGTATCGTCTGCAGCGCACTGCGTTGGACATGGATTCGATGTGCAAATATTTGAAGCCCGTCCCAAAGATGAAGGTCTGGGAGGTATCTGGAGTGTACGTTGTTCTCTTCGTGAGCTTGGGTGGATATCTGCTAATGCAATCACATCTAGCGGGTCAACTCTACCTCATCCTTGCAGGTTCATAGTATAATGTACCGATTCCACCCATCAGTGAAATACACCACTGCCTATCCCTCGCAACAGGAGATTCGCGAGCAGATCATTGATGTGTGGAAACGCTATGGCCTCCAGAAGCGTACCATTTTCGACACTCCAGTTACGTCCGTCAAACAGACAAAAGATGGAAAATGGATCATTAACGACAATGAGGAAGAGTATGGACGCTTCGACGGCGTGATCGCGTCTGTTGGTGTTTGCGGTGATCCGAAGATGCCGCCTCTTCCGGATCAAGGCCGTTTCAAAGGCAAGATTTTCCATTCTTCTGAACTCGATGGGAAAGACGTCGAGGGCAAGAAGGTGCTCATCATTGGCGGTGGCGCTAGTGCCATTGAAGCGCTGGAATTTGCCGTCAAGTCAAAGGCGAGCGAGATTGACGTCCTGTCACGGTCCGATAAGTGGATTATCCCGCGCAATGTATTCGTCCAGTCGCTGCTAGCCTGCAACATCTTTGGACAGGAGACATTCTTGTCATGGATTCCGGAATGGTTGCTACACAAGCTTTTCTATCGCGATCTCCAGGACATTGCCCCGTCAAGCGGTCTCTACACTGAGACTCCCATGGCCAACTCGGAACTCTTTGAGCAAATCCGCGAGGGTAAAGCACGCTGGCTACGCGGGGACATTGTCAATCTCACGGAGGACGGTGTCATGTTCAATCATCGCTCACGAGGAGTCCCCAAGGGAGGCCCCGGACATGAATCGGTTGTTCCTGGTGATGTGATCATCATGGCAACGGGCTTCAAGCGTCCATCGTTAAACTTCCTGCCGGACGATTGTTTCGAAGAGCCATACGGCCCACCCAGCTGGTACCTCCAGGTCTTCCCTCCAAAGTATCCGAGCATCTGCGCCAACAACAGTACCTACATCAATGCCATCGGCACTGTGGGAAACATGCACATTGGTATATACACGCGCTTCCTGCTGATGTTCCTGGTCGATCCTCTAGCACGGCCGACGGAAGGTCGGATGAAGACCTGGATCGACTTCACGCGATTAATGAAACGGCTGGCTCCTACAGGCGCTTTTGACTTCTTCACTTACGCCGAACTGATCTACTGGTACATCTTCGTAATTCTTGTCAACCCATTCCGCTGGAAGTGGGCGCCATTCGTGCTCTTTGGCATTGGCCGCACGCTTCCTCTGGAGGTAGTCAGGCAGGAAGAAGCGTTTCGAGAACAGTTGAGGAAGCAGCATTAGGATCTCTGTGGTTTTGATGACACCATGCAGCAAAGCATAATTCTTGTATTAGATGTTACCCAGGACGATGTTCCATCAAGATACATGTCAAGACTTTTTCTCGTTATTCGTTTACGAAAAACTGTTTGATATTCACTATAGACAGCACATATTATGAATTTGCACTTAGATTTTCAAGTCAATATCTCCTTGAGTCTCCTCAAACTTGTGAGACAAATCAAGAATCAAAGCGAAGTCATGGAGCCTTAAAGACATAAATACCTTTCGCAATATTGATTGGAGACTTAGCTAGTCTCAAGTCTGATAAGTTGGGATCATCAGTCCCAAGGTTTGTCCAAGATACACTCAAAGCAACCCATATTGTTCTGACCCTCGAATCTGTTGTCCCCCGATCGATTACACTTCAGCTCATGGCGTTTAAACGATGACCCTGTCTTTCGACCAAACTTCATTCTTACCGCATTTGTGGCATTTAGAAGTCTGAATAACATGGTTGACTCCATAGTCCTACCAGCAAATCTGCGCGCAATCGGAGCCCTTGTATGGACATGCATTCAGTAAGAATTTGCCTTAACCAAAAGAGAACTCAGATCTACTGAAAGTCTCCCGGTTTCGGATAGGGTTGAAAGGTGTCGATGGAATATGCAGAAGCCAGGTATATGCAAAGCTTGTGAGAGAAAGGAAACTTCAGTCCCTTGGGGTCTTCAAAGAGCAGATCAGGTACCGAGAAGGTATTGTAAACGAGAAGCTGACGGCTGGCCAAAAGCTCCAAGAACAGATTTCTGAGTGATATTGATGCTCACAGGTGGGAAGACAGTAGAGACCTCAAGGAGATGATGATCGAGAATGCCAACACAGCACACCAGCCAAACTTCACGACCTCATCTGAGAGTTCCACCTCATTCTTTCTTGATCTCTGGTATCTTTTTCTCAATATTATACACCAGGTTTCCCTTGCGCAACATCTTGTAAGGAATAACCCGTCTCTCCTCCAACCACATGATAGGATAGAAGATGGCAACCCCAACTATACAGAAGAGGGTCGCAAATGATTGAAAAGCGAGAACAAAGAGATGCCCTACATGGGGAACCAGGAACTTGATCCATTCCGAGACCTGGTACAAATCTTCTTGCTTGGCGATGTAGTGAAGGGTACGATCCCCGTTCGTCAAGGGCTTCTGGCCTCCAGCATTCGTGGTAAGATTGATGACCGAGGTGAGTTTGACTGGAGAGACGTGGAATGGGACCAGCCATATCGAGAATATCTGTGACAGGGTAATATACAGAGTGAGATGGTTTTCGTCATAGGCTGTAGACTGTTAGCAACCCGCAAGGTCAGTGCCAGGGGAATGAAAACTTGCCTATTGAATGAACCTGGTGCTCAATTCGAGGCGACATGATCTTGTACCACTGGAAGATCTTGATGATGGACCAACGGCTTCCATCATAACTCGAAACCCGGCAGAATGGATGTACAAAGGCTGCTGATGGTGTGAAGTATTTCTCTATCGTTTCCTGCTGAATTGATGGTGGTGACTCTATCAGCAGCTTGATGACAGTCGAAATTTCCGACACTGCATTGTCACATCAGATCAGAATTGGCACTCTTATGAGAATTTGTGTCTCCATTTGCGCTGACCTGGGTTTTCCATCTTCCTAATTCTTTCCTTTGAGGTATGATATTACACTTTCGAAGTTGAAAAGCAACTGTGGATAAAGTGAAATGGTGGATGGGCTTCTGATTGATTAACTTGGCCCAGTTCCTGAGGCCGAAATGGCGATGATGTCATTCGCTTCCGACGCATGTGAAAGTGCCAACAGGGTAATCGCATTCAGACATCAGCAATATTTAAGCATGTGTCAATCATCGCTCAATCTGATCTGCATAATCATTTATAGAGATTGTTAAGCGACTGGAATCAATGATTAGTGCTGAAAAAGATATCGGGGTAGTCTTGGAAGATGATGCTTCAATTAGAATTCGCACAGGCGGCAAGATATATAGTCGATCAACTTTTGTTGGTATCGGTGAAAATGCCAGTTGCCTCAAATATAAACAAAACTCCAGGACCATATCCATAATGCCGAACCATGTACATCTAAGCCCGTTTCCAGCTATCAACCTTCTTCCGACGCTTCTCAAAGATCTGACCCACTGCCACGCCATCACTGCGTGGTCCATCGTCATTAAGTTTTCGCTTCCGACTCTTCTCCAGTGCGCTGCCGCTTCCTTTGGCCCTGCGCGTGAGCTTTGCGATCCGGTCTGCACCCTCGGTAAGACCTCTCCATTCTTCACCGCCGAAAGTGCTCTCCTTGCCCTGCCCGCGTCGCTTGGCTCTCTCCTTCTTGCTCTCCTTGGCCAATCGCACGAAGTTGGTTTCTTCATATGTAGTACGTTCGGCCTCATGCTCTCTTTCCTTCCTGGTCTTCGAATGCCTTCCTCCTTGGACAATCGTGCTACCGATGCTGGGCTCGGCCATGGGGGCGGCCGACATTTCAGCGCTGACAAACTCGTCAATGACATTTGATCTGCGAGGACGGCGGTCCCTCTGCTCTTTGCGTTCGCTTGTGGGAAGCGCAGTTGGCATGATTCTCGGAGGCCGATAGATACCGTCGCCTGAAACTCTCTTGTCTGCCTTCTCTTCTGTCTGAGCCTCCGACTTTACTCCCTTCGAGAAGGCAAAAATATTCGGCCGGTAAGCCATCTCATCAATGTCCTCCTCCTCTTCATCTTCTCCTTCACTGTCGCCGGAGCTGTGTTCCGAGCCGGATTCGTCGTCGCTACCAGATTTCGCCTTCTTTGTCTTGCTCTTTGTCTTGCTCTTTGTAGTGGCCTGGGCGCCGCGTTCGGCTCTGTCGGCGTCCTCTGCAGCCTTGATGACTTTGTCAACCTGGTACTTCAGTCGGCCCTCCAGAGGCCGAACACCTCGGTCCAGATACACGCGGAGCTCGGTAAGTTTTTTAACGATTTCTTCGCGAAGTGACGAGTTTCTATTATGCGCACTGCCATTCTCTTCTGCTTTCGACTCCGAAGAGGATACCTCTCTCAACTGGAAAATGATAAGGAAAACAAGGTTGTGTAGGTAAGATAACAACAGGTCACTTTTGGTATCAAGGAGTGATATACCATCGTGAGGAGGTTCGATGGAGACGTCGGTTGGTGATTCTCGTGTTGCTTGGGGAAGAGAAGACCCGGTGCTCGACAAACAGCTGGTGAGGTTCTCCAATAACGTAGAAATATTCTCTAGGCCCGAAGGCTCCGTTTGAGCCGTCGCCGTCGCCATTATGAAGTGGATAGTGTTATAACCTCTCTCTCTAGAGTGCGGTAAAAGATAGAGGGAAATTTTTCGATCTAATTCTTATCGGCACGTGATGATTAGGCAGTCAATGACAGCTATCACGTGCGCCAAGACCACGGATTAGCTGGCCTTGCGGCTTGCGGAAGTCCAGGTAACCAAAGCTCATAACCATCAGACATTATTGTCCAGCTTCCTCAAGAATTGGTAATCTTTTCAGCCTGTTGGCTCCATACATCGCAGACCCTCTCATACATGATCTTCTGAGTAGGGCCTCAACTTCACGGTGCGCAAGTTGTTAGTTCTATGTGGTTCGATCCGGCCATTTTACAAGCCATCTTTATCCGCTTTAAGCTTCGCCCATTTATTCTAGACCGACACACCTGAGCTGATTGTCCCCTTTTCCTCCAGAAACGCCCAAGATGCGGCTCGACAGACGGTTACCGATATCTACTCTTCTTCTGACAGCTCCTTCGTTATCCGCAGCCTTTTACCTACCTGGTGTAGCACCGACTTCGTACGATGAAGGCCAAGCTGTGCCGCTCTACGTCAACCATCTTACCCCGGGGCTAGCGCAACAAGACGAGCAGCTGCATTCCGTCTTCGCATACGACTACTATCATACCGCATTCCACTTTTGTCGTCCGACAGATGGGCCGAAAGATGTTCGCGAGTCATTAGGTAGCATTCTTTTCGGTGACCGAATCCAGACATCGCCGTTCGAGTTGTTCATGGGCAAGAATGAATCGTGCAAGGCTGTTTGTGGAGAAGTCAAGTTCGATTCGCGAAGCGCCAAGTTTGTCAACAGAAGGATAGCTCAGGGCTATAATATCAACTGGCTGGTGGACGGGCTTCCCGGTGCTCAGTTGAACCTGGACGCAGTGACTCAGTCCAAGTTCTACAGTCCCGGTTTCGCGCTCGGTACTCTGAATGATGATGGGCAGGCAATGCTGAACAACCACTTCGATATCGTCATTGACTATCACCGTGTAGGATTCGGGAGCAAGGACAAGTACCGCGTTGTTGGTGTGCTCGTTCAACCGGCGTCCCGGCGTGATTCCAGAGTCCTTGAAGATGGAACAGTAAAGTGCGGCGCGGACGATGCCGGTATAGTTCTGAGCGAAGATGGCGAGACTGCAGTCACCTGGACGTATGGCGTGTACTGGCGTGAGTCGTCCACTCCCTGGGCTACTCGCTGGGATAAGTACTTGCACGTTTACGACCCGAAGATCCATTGGTTCTCACTCATCAACTCCGCCGTATTTGTGGTTTTCTTGGTCGGTATGGTGAGCATGATTCTTCTGAGGGCTCTCAGGAAAGACATCGCTCGTTACAACCGCCTGGACATGATCAATCTCGAAGATTTAGACAGCACGTCGGCTGCTATTGAGGACGGAATTCAAGAGGATTCCGGCTGGAAGCTGGTTCATGGCGATGTCTTCCGATGCCCCAAGTCTCCTTTGCTGCTTAGTGTGCTTGTCGGCAACGGGGCTCAACTTTTCATGATGACTGGTGTGACAGTTGGTAGGTTTGCCTAAAGTTCTCATTTCACAAGGGGATGCTGACTCTGTCAAAGTCTTCGCGCTTTTCGGTCTTCTTTCGCCAGCCAATCGCGGTTTCTTGGCCACAGCCATTCTCCTCATTTACACCCTTTTTGGCTTCATCGGAGGCTATGTCTCGGCTCGTGTATACAAGTCATTCGGCGGCGAGGCTTGGAAGCGCAACATCATCCTGACGCCGGTCTTGATCCCTGGACTTATCTTTGGCACCTTTTTCCTGCTGAACCTGTTTGTCTGGGCCAAGGGCTCCAGTGGAGCCGTACCTTTCACAACGATGCTTGCCCTGGTCCTTATTTGGTTCGTCATCAGTGTGCCATTGAGTGTGGCAGGCAGCTGGCTTGGTTTCAAGCAACAAGTACGTTCTTGCTTCCTTTTGCTTATAACGAGCATCTGTTGACTGCATTTTCAGGCAATCGAAGGTCCAACGAAGACCAACCAAATTCCCCGGCAAGTTCCTCCAATGACTGGAAGCCTTCGGACAATTCCCTCTTTGCTACTTACGGGCATCTTGCCATTTGGCGCTATCTTCGTGGAGCTGTACTTCATCATGACTTCTCTGTGGACGAACAAGATTTACTACATGTTCGGATTCCTCTTCCTTTGTTACGGACTGATGATCATGACCACTGCGGCGACCACAGTCCTGTTGGTTTACTTCTTGCTGTGCGCTGAAAACTACCGGTGGCATTGGAGGGCTTTCGCTGGAGCAGGAATGACGGGCTTCTATGTTTTCATTAATGCCTTTATTTTCTGGATCACTCGAGTGAGCTTTGGTGGACTCACAGGCGCAGTCCTCTATGTGGGTTACTCTGCCTTGATCGGTTTCTTGGTCTTCATCTTAACAGGTATGTTTTTTGTCCACCAACTAGCCCGCATTATTGTGATGTGGTCTTTAATTCATTCTGCACAGGTTCCATTGGATTCTTCGCCAGCTGGGCGTTTGTGCAACGCATCTACGGCTCGATCAAGGTCGACTAAACTTCGGACATCATTTCTGCCCTTCGAAGTCACAATTGAGCAGGTAATTTGCATATCTGATTTATCAAGTCGGCCCAAGTTGCATTTCCTCTCGGTCTTCATAATGCAATGAGCGGTCGTGCTGTACAATGGAAAACTCCAAATGTGATGTTCAAACTCCAAAGCCTTGTTTCCATGAAAAGTCCGTCTGATCAATGCGCTTACTTCTGATATCTTCGTGCTTGCATGGTTCTTACCGTCCATATTCCATTACAATCATGCCCTTCTAGGCGACGACGTCAATCAGGACTTTGTATATATCTTTGGGGCAGCTTCAAGCTACTTACTCACTCAGGCAATGGCGGAGGAACGACGATGGGGCGTTGATGCGATTACGAATTGACTCGAGAGGAGCAGGCGATGTACGATAATGAATTGTAGATATATAATTATAGACTGTTCAAGCCGCACAGGGTCTGAGCTTGAAGTGGATTTATTCTCCGCATCATGGTGTTATTAATAGACCGTCGATCTAATCAGGAGCTATCTAGATATAGGAATTCATCAAGATGAGAAAATCAGAACTGGAGTACCGGATAAAAATATCCTGCTTGAATCATCCATGATGCACAGTGGAGCTTCCTCCCCGCCATCTGCCCGCCAAGCCGACGACCTGTTCTGGACCGACGGACTGCCGCGCTCGACGGCTTGACTGACTCCATCGCGATCCGAAAGACTTACGACGAGTCACGACGTCGGACCCTTTTTGGCTTTGCCACTACCACGGTCTATTTCTCCGTCAGGAACCCGAATCGTTCACCTTTCACACTTTCTGTTCTTATATCATCCGTTCTCAGCCTCGCTGTCAGCCGTCTATAGTGCTTAGCTCTCCTCCTCCCTCGGCCAAACAGCACACGATCTTATCAAACCAAACCTCGTTTTACCCCGCGCCTCCCGTGATTCCGTCTTTTCACCGCCGTCGCATACAATTCCGGAGCGCTGAGCCTTGCTTGTCCGTGTAAAGGTCACGAGTTCCTTTGTATATCCTTGATTGTGTGTTGGAATTCTGTTTGATCATGGGTAAATCGTAAGTACTGCGCTCGTTAGTCGTTCCGCGCATCAGGGGGTTCGAAATGGGGTTACAACTCGCCAGCTTTGGACTTTCTTTTCCCCACGGGGAATCGAAGACTATATGGTTTTCTAGAAGTCAGGACCTGTCGAGTCGATGGGCCGACGTTGATTTTTCTGCTTAATTGTCGTCATAGCTGTGAAAAGCTCCCCGCTTGGGAATATAAGCTAACGACAACTGGCCACATAGACAGTCGAAGCTCTCCCCCTCCCAGCTCGAAGAGCTCCAGAGGGCGACACATTTCGATAAAAAAGAGCTGCAACAATGGTATAAAGGTGCGTGAGGAGTGAGCGGTGGTGATCACAAGTTGGAGGAGGTTCAAGTACACTGACCGTGGCATGGCGGGGCAGGTTTTCTGAAGGACTGCCCCTCGGGGACCCTGACAAAGGAGGAATTCCAGAAGATCTACCGACAGTTCTTTCCCTTTGGCGACCCATCCTCGTTTGCAAATTATGTATTCCGAGTGTTCGACTCGGACAACAGCGGCATGATCGATTTCAAGGAGTTCATCTGTGCGTTGTCGGTCACCTCGCGGGGTAAGATGGAGGACAAGCTGGATTGGGCATTCCAATTATACGATATCGACGGTGATGGAAAGATTACTTACGACGAGATGCTGGCTATTGTTGAGGCGATTTACAAAATGGTGCGATCTTACGGTACCTGGCTCTCTTGCGGACAGATTCCAGCTAACGGGGCGAGTACAGGTCGGCTCCATGGTCAAGTTACCCGAGGACGAAGACACACCAGAGAAACGGGTGAAGAAGATCTTTCGCATGATGGACAAGGACGAGAATGGCAGCCTGGATATGGAGGAATTCAAGGAGGGCAGCAAGCGCGACGAGACCATTGTCAGCGCCTTGTCCCTCTACGATGGATTGGTATGAGTGTGCGCGGGCGACATATCCTCCAGCACATGGTGTCGTGCATCCTCTTTACCTTTGGCGAATGCGGCGCAAATTCGAGGTCCTCCTCATTGACCATGATTCTATCTACTTTTTATCTTCTAGGTCTTCTGTTGGTATTTGTTGCTTATATGTTTTAGGATTCCCACAGCCTGTGATCTCTTTGCTTGCGCCTGCCCACGTACTCTTTTGTGTGGGCTTGGTGGACAAGACTTCGAATCATCTTGTGACTTTTCTTTCATCGGCGTTCCTGCTCTGTTGTACCTGAAAAAAACAAAATCACGGTGGCTTTACCTCTCTTCTTTTTCGGGTTACTTGCTACATCTTCCTTTCTGTGGTTGGATCATGCATCTTCCCTGAAACAAGGGCAGATTTCAGGGGATATTTCTTTGTTTCATGTAAAGGATTTTAGCAGAGACCACTGGAGACTCCGTCGGTCTCTCCGACTGTTTTGATGACTATTTATTGCCGTGGATATGGTTTGTGCTTTTAGCGTGTGAGCCTAGAATTAGTGGACTAGTATCTGTGCTCTTGAAGCGTAAACTTCGAGTGTATATACAACCGACTTATCCCAAGTGTTCTGATTACAACAATAATTTGGACTCAAATAATAGCCTTGAGCAATGCATTCTGTAGGTTTGTTTGTCTTGATTCGTCTGATTTTATTGAATTCTTACAGCGATGCCGCTTCGTTCCGAGTTGTCAACTCGTGCCTCATTTACGGCCATCACCGCTCCTAAACGGCGCTTTAGCCTCTTTCTTCCTATTCCTCCTTAGAGTGTTGGACAGTTGGACCACTCTGGCACACTGACACCATTCCCCGTACCAAGACCGATAATCAAGCATTCGCCTAGAGCAGCTCCTCAATGCCGAGTGTTCCGAATACGAAGCCTGCGAGAATTCGTTTGCTGTCCTGTCGGTGACGAGCATGGCCGCAGTGCCACATGGCTGTCATAATTGTATCAATGCTCGAGTCCAGGTTAGTCCAGCCTTGTCATCGCGTAGGCTGAATTCCAACCACTGCCTTATGACTTTGATTATTGCTTAATCCTATCGGTATTGCTATGCATTCTTGTGCGATCCTGCCTATCATGTCTCCCCCATGACCCATTGCCGTTAATAGCGTGATCGGGCGCCGGCTATTCCCATGTCGCGTTGTTTAGATTGATAGAATTTTCGATGATCCTCATCTTCTGGGAGCTTCTTTACGGTCTCTGGCTTGATTTTGTCCTAATCTTGCTTCAGTGCGCCGGTAGACCACCGTGCTCGCGCTGTAGAGACCTCAATCTCTTTTGTACAGGCCATGCGAAGACCCTGGAGTTTCACGATGAACTGCCAGCCTTGCAGAGACGGTACCGGTTGACATCCTCGTCCTCATCGCCGCTCCAATCTCGCAACAAAGCCAAGGGTCTCACCAAGGCTATCTCTCACATCTCCAATGCGACGGAAACGTACTCCTGCCTCCCGATCGACGAGCTTGCATCGCCCTCATTGACCGCCGTCGCCGTATCCTCGCAGCAGACTGAGGTCTTCACCAACTACGTGCTCTCTGCGTTCCCCTGCTACTTCAGATGCACCGCGACTCGCGTCCCGGTAAACTGGGTCGACTATGTCCACAGCCGGCGTAGATCAATGAACACCTGCTTCGACTGGGCGCTCCGTGCCTGCACCACCGCATACACTGGCGCTCTACACAACGACCCGCGGTACACGGACGCCGCAACGGCGATGTACACACAGGCTCTCCGTGGCCTGGTAGCTATGCTATCGAACGCCTCGACAGCCACATCTGACGAGGCGCTGGCCACCGCAATTTGCTTGGCCTGCTTCGAGGTACAAAACTGCACGAGCCCCGACGCGTGGCTGCGACATGCTGCCGGGATCAAGACGATCATGCGACTGCGCGGTCCGCAAGCCCACCTCCACGGATTCGGGCGGGCCATGTACATCGTCTACCGGAACCTGATGGTGACGGCCGCTCTGCTGTCAGGCGAGGAATGTCTTCTCCAGGCACCGGAATGGCAGGCTGAACAGGCAGATTGCCGCCGACAACGCGCGACTACCCGACTCGTCCGCTTACACCGACGTCGCGGAGCGCGGTTTCTGCGAGATCTCCAAGGTACCCGGGTACGTGAAACGGGTTCGTGAGTTGCTCGTCCTGCCCTCGAAAAAGAGAGCCTCGCTACAATCAGCCCTGTTGCGGGATGTTCAGGCCACTCGGGCCGCGCTGCGCGGCATCCACACCGAGTTCGGCGTCGCCGTGTCGATGGTTCGAGCCGGGCAGAATGAGCAACAGGGGTTCATTGGCCCGCTCCCCTACGTTTTCTTCGATGGCTTCTCCGGCCTCTATGTCCGGGGCATTCGCTCCGCGCTACTCATCCTCAACAACTTGATTCTCGCTATGGACCACAAACAGCGCGCGGCCGTCAAGACGGAAAATCGCACCCTGTCCGATGGAATGTCTGAAAGCATCTTGGAGCCGAAAACCGAAGAGCACGAATCGCCCATTACACCGCCCAAATCTCCTGTCAAGTCGCGCAAGCCGAGTCTGGTCGTACGGTCATTGATCTCCCCTCAGACCCGTGAGCCGCCAACATCGGACATGATGGATCGGCTGGTGACGACCATGGGCATGGACGGCGTGAGGGTCACTCTAGTGGAATAGACGCCCTCTTTTTGTCTTCACCTTGCAAGTTTGGCAAGTTTGATTTTATTGATACCCATCTTGTTCATTCAACTTCTAAATATCTCATACTGCATGACATGGCATCGTTTTGCGCTCCACATTGACATGAATTGCAGCTTAGATACTAAACTATAAGCCTGAGAAACATCGCGATCGGATACGCAGAATTGACTCCTAGCGCAGTAATGACATCTACTGAGACCGTAACGGTGAAATTCTTCTACTTACTATGTATTCATCTCCAAACCGTCCCTCCCCTCTCTCGAGCTGCTTTCTATCGGTCAGGTATACAAGGGTATCAGGAGAACCGGAGGCCTCTCATCACATAGGCTCGCCGATGGCTCGGAATCTAGGTGTAACCAGCGATGCAAGAACGAGACGGAAAAGAAAAAGGGCAACGTCATGAGCACGACGGAACAGACTTCGTCATCGGCCAAATCACAGAGATAGGACAGCAGAACAAGCGGCAGGATATCTAGACACCAAGAAGATGATAAGAACAGGTGGTCAACAAAGGTTGCTGGATTGTTTGCACAAAACGAAAGAAAACAATCAGATCTGTTCGGAGGAAGGGTAGAACAAACAGCAAAAGAGAAATCGTGGATCATCGTCGATCGAAAAACCAGCTCGTGCGCTTTCCGCTCTCCTGCGACTGGACTCCCGCGACCGGAGCACTGCTCTCTGGCCCTCCACCACCGCCGCCCCGGAGCGGCTTCGCGATCCTCGAGCCGCCAAAACTGAAACCGCCGCTGCCATCCATAGACGGAAGGCCCCTGGTCGAACCCTGTTTCGCAGCCTCCAGTCTCTCTTTAACAGCAGTGAGTTGAGCTTCAAACCTGTGGGTGGGGAATTGACATTAGCCACCGTATCTTGCCCACCACCGAGCAATTCCATGGGGGAGGACTTACCGATGATTAGCCTGAGTAAGTTTCTCTTGACTCTCTTGAAGCAGACTTTCAAGACTCGCAATCCGCTCGTTTCTGGCAATCAGCTTCCTCTCTGCAATGGCGACCTCCTTCTTTAGGCTGCTGTTCTGTTCAACCAGCTGCCGTTGTACATGGGTCAGTTGCTCCAGGTTGCGTTCCAAGAAAGCCATCTTCTTCTGCTGGGCACGGTTGTTAGATGAGCGCAGCACGTTGTTGTATTGTTCTCGAGCATCGTCCAGCGAGATCTCAAGCTCCACCACCCGCTCGCAACGGTTCTGCAGATCGCGCATCAGGGACTTCTTCATTGCGTCGAACTCGGCGATCTGCTGCTGTAGGTTCTTGCCAGCGGCGCCGTTAGTCGACACCTTAGACTGGGAATCTGCAAGGGACTGCCGCAGCTTGGTGAGCTCCTCGTCCTTGCGTGCAATCTCGCTGCGGAGTTCCGTCGCTGCCTGCATCTCTGTCTCCTTCCGGGCCACGTAGATCTTTTCCAACCGCTCGCGGATCTCTTCGACGTCACCCTCGCCCAGGTTGCGCTCCAGAAGGCTCTCATAGTCCCGCTCGAGATCGACCAGCTTCTGCTCCAACTCCAGTCTGCGGCTGTCCTGCAGCTCGCTCAATTCACCCCGATCATTCATGGTAAGCTCGGCCTGTCGAATGAATCCCTGAGTCTCGACCAGGCTGGTCCGTAGCTCCAGAAGGTCGTCAGGTGCAATTGGCTCGCCAGCCTCGCTGATCTTGTGCAATGCATCCACCCGCTGTATAAGATCCTGGAGTTTCCGCTCGTTGTCTGAGAAAACGTCGCCTCCCAGGTCAAAACCAGCCATCATCTTCGCCATCTTCTCCGCCTTCTTCTTCTCCTTCTCATCGAGTGCCGCACTAGTCTCCTTGGCCTTCATTCGCACGTCAAGGAGTTGCTGCTTGACATCGTCCAGCTCCGCGGTCAGCTCAGCATTAGCTTCCCGGAGGCTGTCCATGGTGATCGACGCTTCCTTGCCCTCGTAGGAAACCTTCTCCAGCTGCATCCGAAGCTCATTGACCTCCGCATTGAGTTTCTCATTGTCCTTACCAGAACGTGCTGAGTTCTCCTTGAGGTTCTTGAGTTCCTCTCGAGCTTCGCGCAAACTCCTCTCCACATTCGCAATGTGGGATTCTCTCTCGGCGATTTGATCCTGGAGCTCATTCTCCCGCCGTAGGAATTCTTCCCGTTCATCTTTCTCGAGTACGAGGCTGGGGGTGCTAGATCGGTCGCCGAATCTTGAATCGGGTCGTGGGGTCTCTGATCGAGGGGTGTCTTGCAATCGAGAAGGAGTGCCAGGTCGCGTAACACTTGCACGAGCCTCAGCCTTGGCCGCGCTGACGGCTTCTGTACCCCTGGCTGGCGTCCAACGGTCCTTGGGAACTGTTTCGCCGCTTCTCCACACCTGAACTTCGCTCTCCAAGGCTGAAATGTAGGTCTCGAAGTTGGTGACCTGAGTCTGCGCTTTGCGAAGTAGCTGCTTCAGTTCAGCTGGACTCAACTCAGCATTGACCTTCGCCTTGTTCTTAATTGCCTTCGCGCGCACACCAAATCGCAGCGTCGAGATCGTTTCCGCATCGTTGTAGCTACTGGGAGAGCAATTGATGATCAGGGTGGTCCTAGAGTTACCACCCAAACTCTCCTGTAGAATTCGAGTGAGCTTCGAGTCACGGTAAGGGATATGCGTCGATTTGCCATCTGTCAGCGCGTTGATGACCATACCAAGAGCACTCAAACTCTTATTAATCTTCTTGGCTTCTTCAAGAGTTTGACCACTGGCGCCAGTCTTGCCGACTTTTTCACTACCTGCGAGATCCACCAGGAAAAGCTGACCGCTCTTTGCGGAACCCGTCTCTAGATTCTTCTGGGTGACAGTGATGACGAAGATGGAATGGGACCGAGACGATTCTTGATTCATGTTGGTCGCAGCCACCGCTCTTGCCGCACCGCCGCGTCGCATCACCTCGTAGACCTCCTGCACACTGGAGACATAGACCTCAAGCAGGCCTTTGACGTAGACACCTCGCGACTTCTCTTCGTGGACGGGGAGGTTATCATTCTGTGGCACCAGCAGATCGCGGATCCGTTCCATGTAGATTTCCATATAGCTGACTCGGACCGTATACTCGATGTTACTCGGGCTGGTGAGAATGCTTGCGAAGATCTGCTCAACGATACGTGGAATGATACCCTTGCCGTCCGGATCATCGATATCGGAACCCATCATTGTATAAGACTTTCCAGCACCTGTTTGACCATAAGCAAAGACCGTACCGTTGTAACCGTTCAAAATATCGTCGACTGTAGGACGGATCGAGTAGTTGAAAATGTCCGTTTGTTTCGAATCCATGGGGAAAACTCGATCGAAGGTGAAGGCTCCTGAGCCTTCCCTGGACTATCGCTGGTCAATATCCCCAAGCGCCGATCTCCTCAGCCTCGACAGAAGACTTACGTTGATGTAACATGACTGCTCATTTTCAAAATCAACAACCGTATCTCCTCCAGACGCTAATTCAACTTTGTTTTGCGGTCGGAATCTCGCAACGACTATGCAGTAGCGGTGAGTATCTTCGGACATACGTGCTGGAACGGAGTATACAAACCCTTGATGGTGTTGGAGCCGGGGCCAGATGACCTGTCATGCCAGACTATCATCAGTCTTCTCCGCGGTGTCTCAAGCGGCAGTTGAGAATACTCACGCCATGTTTGCTCCGACTCAAACCTCAAGAACCACCAGCAAGAGAGGTTAGAGGTGAGGAAAAGCCCCGAGGGGAGGCGGGTAATTGCTAGGCTTTCGTTCAGACCAGTATTCCAGCCTGCTGGCCAGCTGCGTAGAGTCGGTGGGTTGTTTGGGTCAGGGGTCCACGTGCGAGACGGCAACCAGGAACACGCGATGTCCTCACCCCAAAAGTGCAAAAGGATGGGTCGAGGAAAGCAAGTCCGCACGCACACACCACCGCGAGCTTGTGACGTGGGTTACGACTCACTGCTGATCGAGCACAGAAAAGCAGCGTGGGGATCAATATGTATCTTGAGTCTCAGGAATGCTTCGACACGAGCCGTTGAGGATGTGGCTTGGCGCCGGCCTAAGAACTTTAGAGAAACACTCGTCCCGCATCACCAGTAGGCCGCCGGTCAACCACACATGCTCGAAGCTTTCCTTCAACTAAATCTAGAGCTACAATTGCCTGGACGGAGAGAATAAAGTCTACGTTCAATTTAAGGCGGAAGAGCGGGCAGCAGAACCTGGGGACTCCAAGGACAAGAAATGCTCATGCATTATGCACGCAAAAATAAACAATGCAGCTATCCACAGAACCAGCAGAAATGAATAATTCACCAGGCGCCAAAAACCCCGCGCTGTGCATATCATCAACATATTATGGAAGTCCTTTACGAACTTGGCCAGAACGTTCATATCAACCACCTGTCAGACCACAAGTCGTTGTGTCCACTTGTGACCCCCGGGTAGACGACATTGTTCCTGCTGAGCGACCGAATAAAAAGAAACCATACCCACCGGCCCGTGAGAACTGAGCTCACAGCTCTTCCGAGAGTAGACTAATCTTCCCAGCTCTTCTCGACGGTCTCACGCACGCGCTTGATGTATTCCTTCCGGTTGTCTTTGTAGAGGTTCGATGCTTCCACATTCGCGGGGGACGACGTGTTGGGGTCGTTCAGCAGACTTCATAAGATATGGCATCAGCATCAATGTCCCATGAATATTGTGGCATAATATTTATCATACCTCTGGATACTAGTCAAGATGGCCGCCACGTCATAGGTCGGGCTCCAGCGGTTCTGCAAGATGTCAAGGCAAAGCTCGCCCGTACCATAGACATTAGGATGGAACATCTGGCTGATAAACTTGACACCTGGCGGCTTGTTGGGGTATTGTTCCTCGAAATGCATGACCAAGCGGAATGTACCATCTTCGAACGGGGTATCGGCGGGGCCAATGATGACGGCATTCCTGGAGACGAATATGTCAGTTACTCTATCACCACATTCTTCAGATGCACGGAGGAATCGAGAAGAATGGAGAACTCACCAGGTCATGACATTGTCAGCTACTGGAGACGCTGAGACGCCAGCAGGAGGGTCAGTCTGCATGCGCTGTGATCATGAATCAGAGTTAGCTCACGAGACACCGGCTGGTAGTACGATAAGAAAGAATGTGCAACGAGGAAATAGATATATTTGGACAAAAGAGGTAACGACAAACTGAGTCACAATCAATGACCTTCAATAATAACGTACCTTGAAATCACGCATGAGACGACGGCGGGCAGAAGTAGACATGGCGGCGGGTGCTACGAGCGATAGGAGCTATCGCAATAGGCTTTCACAAGCTGCAAGCAAACCACAAGCGTTGAAGCCGTTAAAGCTGGAGAGTAAGAGGACTTGATTATAAAAAAGGTCGAGAGGGATATGCCACAAGACAAGTTGAGATAGCCAACGGGAGATGGATCTTTCTGGATGAGAAGCGATCACAAGAGCGGGAGGATGAGCGTCGATCCAATGCCGTTCGGTCTTCTTAGGGTCGGGATTCCCCTCTTGCTTAGCTGTACCTACCGTTGTTCCTTCTTGCCATCCGGGTTCCAGCAATCGGTAAAACTTACCAGATGGATAAACTGACTTTCTATGGTATAGCTTAGAACGCCACTGCTGAGTAGTCAGGACATCATGTGAGTTTAAGTCATGTGAGCACGAATGGATCATGTGATGTCATGTGATAAAAGCACTGTCCAAACAGCCTCGGTCCATGCGGGAGTGCGGCTACATGCGGAATGCCTGGCGGAGAACTGGGAGGAGACCGAGGCGAGTTGCAATAAGCCAACAGATCATTTCCGCTTCATCTACTTTCATCTCCTCATATTATAGTCATTCTCTCGTTGTCCAGTTTTTGAACCCCCTCACAATCACTGTATAACATATCTGCTCCATCACGATGGCGATTCAAACAACAACTGGGTTGGCAGCCCGTCTCCTCACCAAGCGCGCCGCATTCCCCGCATCTCGACGAAACTTCAGTGCCGCTCGTTCAGCTTTCCAGGAGATTCAGGAGGCTTACATTCTCAGTGGTGCTCGAACACCTACTGCTAAGGTAAAGCTATTTTCAAATCGCCCCTCCTCGTTGTCTTTAATAACTGACGTCTCATCTAGTTTAACGGCTCGTTTGTTTCGGTATCCGCTCCCGAGTTGGGTGCAGTTGCTATCAAGTCCGCCGTGAGCAAATCTGGCGTTCCTGTTGAGAAGATTACCGATGTGTACATGGGAAATGTTCTTCAGGGTGCAGTTGGTCAAGCGCCGGCTCGTCAGGCCTCCATGTTCGCCGGACTCTCTCCAACGGTGGAATCAATGACGGTAAACAAAGTGTGCGCATCCGGCCTCAAAGCCGTGGCCCTCGCCGCTCAAAATATTCAACTCGGTCTCGCGGAGGCCCAGGTTGCTGGTGGTATGGAGAACATGTCCCGCGTGCCCTACTATTTGCCTCGATCCACCCAATTGCCACCCTTCGGAGAAATCAAGTTACAAGATGGGTTGATCCAGGATGGCCTGTGGGATGTCTACAACCAGTTCCACATGGGTATCTGCGCTGAAACTACGGCTAAGAAGTATGAGATCTCGCGTGAGGAACAAGATCAATATGCCATCCAGTCGTATCAGCGCGCGCAAGCAGCATGGAAGGAGAATAAATTCGCCGAGGAGATCGCGCCTGTTACCGTCAAGGGCAAGAAGGGAGAGACAGTCATTGAACGCGATGAGGGCTACGAGAATCTTCGAATTGATAAGATGTCCACGTTGAAACCAGCATTCTTGAGGGATGGCACGGGCACAGTGACCGCTGGCAATGCTTCTACCATGAATGATGGTGCCTCGGCGCTCGTCCTGGGCAGCAAAGCTATCGCGCGTGAGTTTGCTCAGGGTAATCGGGCTCTTGCACGCATCGTCTCTACCGCAGATGCCGCCATCGATCCTGTGGATTTCCCCGTGGCCCCAGCCAAGGCTGTTCCCATCGCCCTCGAGCGGGCAGGTATCACTAAGGATCAGGTTGCTGTTTGGGAGTTCAATGAGGCTTTCGCTGCTGTCATCAAGGCTAACGAGAAGGTGAGGCTGAATGCATTGATAGAACCTTGTAGGATTCTGTCCCCTTGCTAACTACTTCTTAGATTCTCGGTCTGCAGAATGCTAGGGTCAACCCTCTTGGAGGAGCCATTTCCCTGGGACACGCCCTGGGAAGCTCTGGCTCTCGTATTTTGGTCACTCTTCTCCATCAATTGCAACCTGGCGAGTATGGTGTTGCTGCCATCTGTAACGGTGGTGGTGCTGCAACTGCAATGGTCGTTCAGAAGCTTGATCGGGTCGACTGAGCCAGAGGCCGGTGATCAACGTTTCTATCCGTCCCCGTGTTCACAAATTTCTTGGTCACCTCAAAAGCGACACTGCCATGATTATACCCACGCTCTGCCAGTCTTTCCTTAGCATGCTATGATTGTATATATATGAATGAGAATTGAGAATTGAGATGAATCATGTAGCAGTTTTGTCAGCACAGTTGGTAACTTTGTCACGTGACAGCTCAGCACGCTTACCGAAAGCAGTAAGGCACACCCTCCACCTGATAGGTGCTAAACCCGAGATAGTTGAAATAAAACAATGCATACTACCTTAGCTACCTATTGTTTTGACGTTACTGCAGTGACCAATGCTTCAAAAATAGCGAGATTGATTACACTACTTTAGTCCGTCAAGGCTCGCTTCGCTACCCTTGTATATGTCTTGACGGACAGCTTCCTCGTTCCGGATCCCGATAGCGATGTTTGATCAGGTCGAGCTAACCGTTTCTCCTTCCTGCTACAATTGCCTTGCCTGGTCAGCAGATGGCGAGATTGCTCTGGCCGCGGGTGAATATGTTCAGATCCTAGTATGCTCCGTCACCACTTCAACTATGCGCTTCTTGAACAAGGCTCATTTCAAATAGACGCCGAGGAAACCTACGCAGGACAAAGAGGAAAGTGGCTCTGATCGTCCAAAAAGCGAACCAAAATGGCATATCACGCGTTTTCGCGCCAATTTGTTCACAAACAGAGAGTGGCCCACGGTTTTCCCTCACAACCGGGATGATTTCTCCATTGGGGCTGAACTCTCGCAAAGCTCAGTGGTCGGTCTGTCCTGGTCACCACCAGGACTCGCCAAACATAGGCGATGTACACTTGCAGTGCTGACTTCCAACTTGTTACTATCCTTCTATCAAATTGTTGATGGAAAATGGATTCGAGTTGCCATTGTCAACAATGCCTTAGCGGCACATTTCAACTCTTTCATTCACGACGAGGGTCCGCGATTGAGGAAAACCAACATAAGGCAATTCGCGTGGTGTCCGCCCTTAAAGATACCGCAGGGCAAAAACCATTCCGTCCCTGGAGCCGAAAGCCGATGGGGCTTTCAAATACTTACAGTCGCCAATGACGACAACGATTTGATTTTCCTGCATGTTTGGAGAACAGAAGCTGGTTTGGCCCTCTCTTCTTATTCCTTCGATATAATCTCCATCAGCTCAGTGCATGATCCCGAGGCAAAATATCCTATTGTCCAGTCTGGCTCGATTCTGGCTACATCCTTGAAGTCGAAAATGAGGATCTCGGGCCTGTCATGTGGCCCCTGGCTCCTCAAGCAAGATGAGATAGCACCGGACGTTTGTCCTGCGATAGGAAATGCAGCCGTCACTTATGGTACCAAACTCAAGGTGATTAGGCTAGATGTAAACCTACGCCGAGATGACCAAGAGTCAGAAACTCCTTCTCGCTGGAACTTGCAGGCAACCGCTTCGGAGAACATAGATCTATCAAGGAAAGATGCTGGCGAACGCATCTACCGCGGCCCTCTTGAGTGGTTTCAAGCGGTAAGAATCCGAGTAACATTAGTTATGCCTTGAACTCACATATATTCAGGCAGAGTCTGGGGAAATCGGCCTAGCTGTGAGTACAGTGGGAGCGCTTCTGGTTGTAAGCCTCCCTCGCGCCGTATATGAGGGCACAGAGACATCATCTGGAAAAGTTCGAACAAGAGAATATCCCCTGCTTGACAACACCAACACCGCCGTTGAGAAAACGGAAGCAAGGCATTGGGAATCTATCAGTGGTAGGCCGCACACTCCTACAGTTCAATCCGCTTTACTAATAGCACATAGCCATGACGGTTGCACGTGATGATGAGTCCAGGCTATCCTCACTTCATTTGGGCACATCCGGGGGTCATGCCGCAGCCAAGGAATTCATTGATTTCACCGATGCCCGGGATGACGGCACGCTCTCGCCGCCGCCGTGGAAAGCCCAGTTTGATGCTATGCGAGAGAGATTCGATATTGACCATGATCTTGGAGGATTAGCGATCGGCAGAATTTGGGGACTAACAGCCTACGATGGACTTGCTGCAGTCGCATTTACTCTTCACCCCGGAGACATGATTGAGTACCGCACTGGCTCGCAGGAGCGCACCATTATTGTTCTCTCCAGGGCAAACCTACATCAGCAACAACATACTCCGTCGGTCCTTCGTGACTTGCCAGAATTCACGTCAGACTTCTTGCGCCTGAGACGCGAGGTGGTGCTGCGCTTCACATTGTATTCCCTGGACTATGATGACAGAAACCCTTGGTACCAGAAACTCGTGTACACGGCTGCCTGTTGTGCTCTTGTGGAATCTCAGGATGAATCTCTACTCTTACAAGCTAGGAAAGTCTTCGAGTGGCTTGCCACCGCTACCGGAGTTGATTTGACCGAGGAGATAACAAAATGTTCGTCGCCTGGGAACAAACTCGAATCAAAATCTGTAGAGCAGCTCGACGGGGCTGGTGGGCACATATTTGAGAGGTGCGATATATGCCAAGCTGGGATAGCTTGGTATTCAGCTCAGGAAGGACAGTGTGCGGGTGGTCATCTATTCGGTAAGCCCATGAAAGCTATTCGCCAACGGTGAAGCACAATTAAACTGATTGTCTTGCATAGTTCGTTGCAATCTCTCGTTCTTCTGTATTCAAGAGCCGGGAGTATCCAAGTTTTGCTCCGATTGCGGCACCGAATATCTCGATGAAGATGTCCTCGCTCAGCTTCACGGGACCGAACTCCAACGCGCTTATGAGAAACTCTCTAACTTGTTTGATACGTGCATATACTGTGATGGCAAGTTTCGTGCCTGAAAACCTACATCCAGATGAAACTCAAGCTACGAAGAAGCGAAGAAGGCTGATTTATATGGACCCCGATGGAAGTCATGGGCGCTTTATGCGAGGCCTAAAAGTTTGCCAGCTATAGGATCCCATTCGTCATTCCAACGACGATCACTCTCTTTGCGAGCACCAGTACGGATCTTCTCGAGCTTACTTGGGTTCTCAAACAGATCAACAAGGTGGTCTAGGAGCTCACTGGAGCTTCCAAAACCCATACCGTTTACACCTTCGGTTACTAGCTCAGGCCAGGCTTGAAAACGATTCCAGCCAAGCACGGGTAATCCGGCACCGAACATGTCAACCACTTTCATGGGCAGATCGACACCACTGCTACTGGTGTGTAGGCTGATTCCCAGTGAAGCAGACGCCAGAAGGCGTGCATAGTTGCCTGTGGTTAACCATGTGGTGCGGATTGTGACCTTGGCGAGCTTGCCCGCCTCTTGAAGCCTTGATATTTGCTTCAGGTACATTTCCTTCTGAGGCCCCTTCCCAGTAATAATGGCCAGAACAGGGGGTAATCCAGGCTTGCTGGTCGTTGCCAGGTTCGAATACCGGCAGAGTGCGTCAATGAGTAACGAGAAGTCTTCGTCGGCTGTCCAGGATGTCGAACTGACTAGTACACGGAGGGACCCGGCCTGGAGCAGGTGCTGCACCGAGGCTGTTTCTGGCAAAGACTCGAGGAAACTCTTCCGCTCGCTTTCATCCAAGATGGGCTGAAAATGACTTGCTGGCCGGTCATGCAAGGGCAGTAAGGGGGCTGTGAGGCGAAAATCGCACTTCAAAACGGAAGCCATGGCTTCTGTAACACAGAAGTGCGCTGTGGCGTATCTACAGAAGCTCTTCTCATACCATCTGGAAAATCGCACAAGTGGGTGTCTATCCCCAAGTTTGAGCGCCAAAATGGTGTACCCAAAGTTATGCCAGTCGATAATCAACTTGGTATGCCGGAGGAAAGATACCATGGATGCAATTGCCAACGTAGGTATGGAAGGCGGGTTCTGCATTGGGCCAACTTTAGCAAGACGATACGGCACAGCAGAAGAGGCTCTTGGGCGGGGCGGAGGCTGACCTGAACGAGTAGCCATTGAGCGGGCTCTGTGCGGTATGCCAGAGCCCACCAAAGACATACAATCTGGAAGGCTACTTTGAGCGGACCAAAGAGCAGAAAGAGGAGCTTATTACTTGTTTGCAGGAAGGTCGGGTGCGGCGGAAGGGCGGTGATGGATATTCTAGGATTGGACGAGATGTCGGGATGCACTTCTGATTCTGTATGATAAAGGAACATCAGCCATGCGATCATTCGCGATTCAAAAATCTGATTGAGCAGTACCATTGTAACCGATTATGTCCACCTGGCCTCCTCCCCTCGCGATACTCAGAGCATGGTACTGCATGCGCGGGCTGCGGCCGATGTCGCCGAGAACCAGAATCTGCGTCGTCGTTTTGGGCGCATTGAAAGCATCCTTGTTTGTACTGCCGGACCGTCTCGGAACGTATCTTGAAGGAAGTAGGAACAGTAATAGTGTCACCGCTGTGGAGATGTAGAAGACGACGCTGATGAGGGATTCAATCATGATGGTGAGGTGTGCTGTCGGCGAAATAATCATACAGTCTAAGGCGGAACCATTGTGTTTAAAAAAGGTCGAATAAACAAAGATTGATAAACCCTTATCGCAAATGGCTGGCCAAAAGAAACCCACTTATGAGTACAATGCGAATGACAGAGGCTCAAAGCTTCGAAGCTATTACGTTGCGCTACCAGCTGTGCGGAGCACATAATAATCGGGATCACTTCGTGGACACCTCAGGCTCATCCATGGCTCCAAACCTTTCCCAGAACGGCAGTCGACCGGAGAGATAAGGGAATCTTGGCGCGTATCACGTGTGCCCCTTGCCCAGGCGTTATCACCAGCAGCTTGCAGAGGATCGCTCAATTCAAAGTTTGGTTTCTATAAGACAGCCTCTTCGGGCAACTATTGCTCCTCTTTTTAATCGGTGATTGCGCGCGTTCTTTTGGCGAGATGCCGGGTTCCCTATCTCAATTCCCTGACCGACTGTCCCCTCAGAGCTGCTAAGCTCCCTATCCCTCCCCGATCTTGGCCGCGACGACCCCGTCGAACGTCTTGGCCTCTTCGCCTTCTGCCCCCCTCGTCGCCATTACATTCACTTGCCAATTGACACAAAACAAATCGAAAAATCAATACCATGTCAACGGGGGCTCCCGTGTCCAGTGTGGATACAAACTTCCCCGCACCTCAAGGAAATGGATTCGGACACTCCCGCGGTCATGGCCACTCTCGCTCAAAGCGTTGGACGCAACCATCAGTAGGCCAGTCGCTGTCTTCTTTGAATGGTTATGCGACTCCAATGCAACCGAACCTGCCTTCTATAGACGCAACTTCACCCAATGGCTTTGCGTTAGGGTCAACATCGCACAATCACCACCATTCGCACTCGCACGCTGCTTCCAACCACTCAGGGAGCTGCAACCATGCAGATTCAGCGCATCATCATCCAATTGAAAAGACAGAAGATGCTACAGAATTGCGCGCGCGTGATGTTTCTGTGGTTTCGACCGATTTTGCATCCAGCAGCAAGTGAGTGATCCTGATAAGAAACGACGGATCAAATGAGTGACATTTATTCTTCTAGCCACGAACTCTTCTCAGGACTGCTGATCGCTCTACCTTGGATCGCCTTATCGTGGTACTACAAGCAATATGCGCATTGGAACTCAGCTATCCCCACTAAGGACAACACTGACCCGAAAACATTCGCCGGTGGGAGCCTGGATCAGGCGGTACTGAGAACCTGCAGTCTGACAGCTGTCACTATGGTCATGACGGGAGTCGGACAACTCCAATGGTCTTCACGGGATGGGAACAAATCCATGGTCAAAGTTCCATATTTGAGGACAGATGTCGTAGGTGTAGCGCTTGCTCGCATATGCTCGATCGCGCTGCCTATATATGCGGCGCTCAAAGTTAGTGGGTTTCTTGTCGCGTTGAGTTTACTTCTCGCAGCAGCATCTGGGTTGCCTGCTCTTGTCAAAGGCCGCGCTGCTGGCAGCGACGCTCACGAAAAGCTGGTCCACAAGAAAATCACAATTGCTCTGATACTTATAATCCTGATGTTGAGCTTTTTCGGTTTGGTTGGCTCCCAGGACTCGAAGCCGTTCTTCGGCTATCTCTCCTTGTTATTGTCTGTTTTCGTCATTCCTCCCCCATTTGCAGTCGGTCAGTCAAATTCCTCTCGGGGGTCCGGTTTTGGCATCTCCGCTTCCTCACAACCGGGCACTTCAGTAATCCGGAATTTGGGCTCATTATCTGTCTTCTCGCCGGATGATGGTATGTTGACCTTGATACTCGGGCTCGTTCTTGGGCTAGTCAGCTTCGTCCTCTTCGGTATCCCTTCCCTCTCGGCATTGGATGCGATGTACCTTCTGGCAACAGCCGGTAGCTACGCAACATCCTTACTCTTTTCAAACCCGGCCAATCTGCGCTCGCTGCACAAATGGGGTTTCGCTACAGGTATTGCTGCAGCAGGGTTTCTATCTCCGCCACCTGTAGCTGCCGATAATTGGGTGGTCTATGCATCGCGGTGCACGCTGGCGGCGGTGTCGTTCTTCGCCGCTCGATTTGATGACCGCCAACTACGCCTTGAGCGCCATCCTCATCATCATCATGGCCACTCAGCGGCTGGTGCCAGTCGGGTGACCAAGATCCTTCTTCGCTACAGCGAGCCTTACCCCCTGTTGTACAGTATCCTCAAAGAAAGCGATTCTCGCCGTATATTCTACTTCATGAGGTATGCATGTGCGCCTCTTTGCATTTAGGAGTGACGACTGATGGCATTTATAGCTTGAATTTCACCTTTATGTTGGTTCAGTTATCTTACGGCTTCGTCACCGGGTCCCTGGGGCTGCTCAGTGACAGCATACACATGTTCTTCGATTGCCTTGCACTTGTTGTCGGCCTCTGTGCTGCCGTTATGAGCAAGTGGCCACCAAGTGCTCGGTTTCCTTATGGCTATGGAAAGGTTGATACTCTTTCCGGATTTGCCAATGGTATTTTTCTCATGTACGATTTGGATCCACCTTTCTTTGAAGCTTAAACCTGACAATCACCCAGGATCATAAGTATTGAGATCATTTACGAAGCTGTGGAGCGACTTTCCTCCGGAAGTCAGATGCAACGACTGGGCGAATTGTTGGCTGTCAGCGTTGCTGGCCTGCTCGTGAATCTTGTCGGTATTATGGCATTCGACCATGGCCACGCACACGGTCACGATCATGGGGGCCATCATCATGGTCACTCACACTCACATGGAAATGAGAATATGCACGGTATCTTCCTCCACATTCTAGCCGACACTCTCGGCTCCGTGGCGGTTGTGATATCCACCATTCTTGTGCACTTCTCTGGCTGGGCAGGATATGACCCTATCGCCTCATGTATGATTGCCATTTTGATCTTTGCCTCGGCAGTCCCACTAGTCAGCAGTACTGCTAAGACCCTATTGCTCGCCCTTCCCGCCGACATTGAATACAATGTCCGTGAAACGTTGGCCGGTGTCAGCTCTCTACGAGGAGTTGTGGGGTACACAGTGCCCAAGTTCTGGTTAGACGATACAGGAGCCGCCTCGGGACATGACCACGATCATGATCATGACCATGGTCATGGTCATGGTCATAGTCATAGTCATAGTCATAGTCACAATCACAGTCACAGCCATGGCCATGGCCACGGCCACAACCACAACCACAACCACGATCACGATCACCATCATGACCACGATCATTCTCATGAGAAACACAAAGCAAACGTCCTCGGGGTAATTCATGTCATCGCGTCTCGCGGAGCCGACTTAGAGGATGTGCGACAACGGACGGTCAACTACCTCCGAGAAAAGGACATGGACATCCTTGTCCAGGTCGAGCGAGAGGGCGATGGGCGCTGCTGGTGCGGAGGGGGCAACAAAAGCCCCTGATTGCAGCCGTCATTTCTGTATATCTTGACATAACATAGAGCTCACTGCGGAGCTTTGAACACATGCAAATACCTTTTTGTACTATTTATGACTGCATACACGGAAGTCGATCGAATGTACATGACATGTATACAATTCAATTGATTAGTGACCGTGTAACAACCTCATTTAAGTATATCGGTCGGTTTTGACTGAACGTGGTCATAACCGACGTTTCAAGTGTGAAAAACATATCCACCTCGGTGTCGAGCGTCTAAGGGATGTTTCTCTGGACGTCCCACCACCACAATGCCACCATGTGTGACATCTGTGCCACGTCACTTTCTTCGTAGCAGTCAAAAAGTCTATTGAGAAAATCGCCACGTCTCGATGCCGCAGAGCACTACACTAAAGTGGTTGACGGACTTCAAAGCATGCACTCGACGCGGGGAACAAGCCTGTGGAACGAAGAAGATTACCAAGGTCGTACAAGACGCATATCGTCGGCTGCACATGTTGACACACTTGAGGGACTGAAGTTTGGTATCCAGCATGTCGGATGAACGCAAAAGATGTCCTCGGGGATGACAGCTTTCAGGAACCAATTGACGCAGAGACAGACCCAGAATCTGGTATTCAATATCTCTATTGGCGTTTGAGTGGAAAACAAAGGTCACATCTGTCTAGGTTGTGTTACAGCGCCGACTCGGAAAGAGCTGAAATATGCGTGAAATCATATGCAAACTGCACAAAGAGGAAGTGCAGAACCGCGGTGTAAGGTCATCATGATCAACTCAGTCAACTTATATTTGTAGCTTTGCAGCTTCGCGATACAACATTTCCAGGACTCGGTCGATGATAATCGCTTCAGACGCCATCCGGACAGGTTTCCCCGGTGTTAGAAATGTCAGCCCCAACGGCAGATAACGAGATCCTGAGAAATGGGTATGCGAAGTGCTTCACGACACACTCTGTCTTCCTCACGGGCAGTACCGGATCACTGGGAGGATGTCTTCTTTACAAATTGGCACTGCAGCTTCCTACCCAGAAGATCTTCGTCTTGATCCGCGGATCGGCCGACACCGCCGTTGAAAAATGGCGGAGACTCATGCCGAAACAGACTCAGGCCATTCTTGACTCCGGAAAAGTGCATTTTGTCGTTGGAGACATCAAGAAGACGGACTTTGGTATTGGAGATGCCGATTTGAGGCGATTGCGTGAAGAGGTCACTCTTGTTATTCATACGGCAGCCAGGATCACGCTCGATGCAGGCATCGTGGAAGCGATCGAGAACAACTGCCTCCCTTCCCTTGAACTTGCAAAGGTCATTTCACGTTTCAGACGATTGAAGCTGTTTGTTCAGATCTCGACGGCGTATGTGAGCAGCTTCTTACCTGATGGTCACGTCGGAGAGCGGCTGTATTCCATCTCCGACGCAGATCCAGAGGATGAGCTCGCGGCCATTATGTCAACAGGCAAATCTCCTCACACCGCTCGGTTTTCTTCATCGTATACTCATGCAAAATACCTCATGGAACGGCTGTTGTTGAAGAGATACCCTCTTCTACCTCTGCTGCTTGTCCGCCCAACCATTTTCGGCGCGGCAATCCGGGATCCGTATCCTCTGTATGGGCCCATCAACTCCACGCCGATGAATAAATTCGCCAGTCTGTTCTTTGCGGATCGCGGGGGAACACATGTTTGGCACGCCACCCAGGGTTACGAGACAGGTGCAAATATCCTAGACGAGATCCCCGTCGATTTTGTCGCGAATGGCTGTCTCCTGCATGCGGCGGCGAGGACTCAGGGAATTGTTCATCTCGGAGCTCAACTTTACGTGCCGCTCACTTTTGACGACTTCTTGCGGCTCGCAGAGTCCAACGCTCCTCCGTCGATTCAGAAAGAGTTGCCCACGGTCACATTCACACAAGACCAAAACGCCCCGCAATCGCTCCTGGCTGATCTGGTTAGAGTCGGTACACGTAACTGGTCGTTTGACTGTGGCAAATCGTATTGGCTAAAGCAGATGGCTGGGCCATTGAGCTTGGCTGCGTGTAAGCATGACGTTGACAAGCTCAATTCAGCGAGGATCCAGGAGATCTATGAGAACACGGCAAAGAGGTTGGCGAAGCTTTAGTGTCCCTGAATGTTGTTCCAAGCTATCTTGTATTCAAAGGAGTGCGCACGGAGCGGCTCGCTTCGCAATTGTCCAAGACTAGTTGAAATTTTGTTTATAATGCTGCGTGTTAATCCAATTGAACATCTTCTGCTTAGACACTTATTCGTGACGTTGGCTGGCTCCGTTGATTGGTCATGAGGGACAAGCAAGCGCATTGGGCAGGCCCTTAGGAGGATTGAAGTCAATCAATCTTGGAACAGATCATAGACCCATTTTATGCTTGGGCCATAGCCGAGCCTCCTCCCAACGGATATCTCCGGGTTGCAGAGCAGCCAAGAGTTCAGAAACCAGAGCCGTACCCGAATTTTTCGCCCACCACCGTGTCCCATGGAGTTCGCCAAGAAGAACGCCCCAGTACATAAGCACCATCAAGGGGAAGGGTTTCCGACATCTTAGGGCGTGGGCAAATTCCTTGCTCGCTACTGCGAGCCACCTGAGTACGGATGCCGCATCCATGTAGGTAGCATATCGAGTAAAGCAATCGTGGAGGAGAGAGATAGCGTCCTTCACTATAAGATACTGTTCAGGGTCCACAGTAGCCACAATATCATCGTTCAACGCGGCTAGTCGGTTCAAAGCGCGCTCCGTTTCGCTGTCTAGTTTTGACGTCGTCACTTTGTTGGAGTGATCTTGCGGGGTAAATAGCTGCATTGTAAGCCAAGGGCGGCTGATGTTGAAAATTTTGCTTACGCCTTGCAATAGCTCGAAGACCACAACGATATTTTCAGTAATGCCTGAACTCTCGTCGCGCTGCGCAGTCAGCCGGGGTAAAGCTATACCAATGACCGTAGTGAGCACGGAGTGGGCGAATACAGCATCACAATTCATAGGGGTTAAGTTATCTATAGCTTGTCGGTATGGCGCAAAAGCACGATTGTGGTACTCCAGGGCCGTGTCAATATAGGTCAGTGCATCTGGCTGCTTGAGCGTTGAAGCTATATGCAAAGCAGCAACCGCAAGAACCCCATTCAAAAGAAAGTCATATTCGAGAGCTTTGCGGGGAATGACCATTTGCCAGACATGGTAGTCTGTCGGTTTATTCGAGAGGCTCAGGTACGTTTCAGTGGAGAATTTGTGCATGAGCTCCAGCTCTCGCAAGTTGGAATCCTTGGCCAGGCTTGAGGTTCCGGAATTGAAGGGCCGGCTGAGAGTTTCAATAACCCGTCCCTCACAGGGAGAAGTAATGGACAAAGGACTCGCAGATGTCGTATTTGCTAAACTACGTGATTTCGGGGTGTTGAAGTAGGAGCAGCTCAGCTCTCTAGCGATGCAGTTTGCACATGGGGGACCAGTCTCATCACACTACTTTGCTTGTTAGAAGAGAAAGGAGGATATAACAGTAGAGAGGAGTCAACCAAATTAAGATGCAGGGCAGAAATATCAATGCAGAAGACATAGAAAAACGTGATTGGCTCACCTTGACCCTTCTTTTCTTGCACTGGTCACAGCCCATGCGGGACTTTGTGTGGGATCGACGGGGTGGCATCTCCAAGATTCATTAGCTTCAAGAAGCCAATACATCCCCGTAGAGGACTGCCGTAGCCTGTGGGAGCTAGGGACTGCTATCAACGGCGGCGGTGGTGGTGCATGGCTGATGGATGATGTTGATTTGACGGACAAAACAGATGGTAAACCACGTGGAATTCTGCGAATGGTCACGTGAGATATACCACCCACCGACATTTGCGTACTCTAAGAAACCTCAGTGGTGCACTTCTCTCGATGACTACGATCCTACTTTCTTCAATATCTAGCCAATCACTACGACTTGCCATACGGCAGAGAAGGCGTATCGGAGACTTATCAGTATCGTCCCTTTCTGCGATGGACTATGGTGGGGTCTGTCTCCGCGTACCCACTACGCCAACTACCGGACCATGAATCATGGTGGACTAACTGCGGTAGGAATTCGAAACTGGCTGTTCATGGCTTTATGCTCGGAAAGAACCTTATATCTCACTTGAACGAGTATCTGATTGTGGTTCAGATCCTCTACTGTGTAGGTTTCATTTGAGATTCAAGGAACAACGGACCTAGGAGCGGCCAGAATCTGAGCGGCTTAGCAGGGAGCACAGGCGTGTGTCAGTTATGATAGACCTGGCTTCCTCCAGTGGGGCAAAACGAAGACGAAAACGAGAGCGAGAGCGAACGCGACGACGAGCGCCAATCAAATGAGATAGCGAGGTGTTTCGACGTTTGTTCTCGATCCACCTCGACATTGGCATCATGATCCTAGCAGGATCGGATATATTGGTGCCGTCCGGGCTAATAAGAATAATGAATGCCAAATGGACGATTTACTCATCATCAACAGGTACTAAAATATTACATCCACCTAGAAACCTGCATTATGACTCCTGTTGGGTTCATCTTCTCTTTTCTCTTTCTCAGCATAATATAGACCATTCGTTTCTCGTCTTCTTTTCCTTTGCTTCCACAAACCCAGGTCACCAACGAACATGCCCAGCTACCGTACCTGCACAGAAGTCAGCCCGATCTGTCCGGTCGAGGCCACGACGTACGGCTACTACCCGAACCTAGGCGGCAACATCTTCTTCACCGTCTTCTTCGGCATCCTCGCTATCCTCCAGCTCGGCATCGGCGTCTACTACCGCACATGGACCTTCATGGTCGCGCTCGCCGTGGGCGCCGTTCTCGAGATGGCCGGCTACATCGGCCGGGTGCTGATGCACAGTAACCCCTGGGATGAATCCGCCTTCAAGCTGCAGATCGTCTGTCTCGTTCTCGCGCCAACCTTCGTCGCGGCGGGCATCTACCTGACGCTGAAACACATCATCCTCGCCCTGGGACCCGAGCACTCCCGGCTCAAACCCCGACTCTTCACCTGGATCTTCATCGGCTGCGACGTGGGCTCGCTCATCCTGCAGGCTGCGGGTGGCGGCGTCGCTGCGGCGGCAGGAAATACCAACCAGGCGCTGCTCAAGGCAGGAGACGACATCATCATCGCCGGTATCGCGTTCCAGGTCGCGACGATGTCGGTCTGCGGTCTCCTTGGACTCGAGTTCTTCATCCGCTACGGGAAACGGGGGCCTGGGCTTTCGGGGGAAAAGACCTCCGTTGGGAGAAACATCAAATGGGTCATCCTCGGCGAGATCCTCGCCTACTTCACCGTCCTGATCCGTTGTATCTACCGGTGTGTACCCTTCGGTTGCCTTACCATCCACCCGCCCAGATCCGCTCGCAAAGCACTAGACTAACAGAGAAACCAGTATCCCCGAAATGGCCGGCGGATGGGGCAACCCCCTGATGCAAAAGGAAAACGAGTTTCTCGTCCTCGACGGAATGTAAGGCCCCAAGAAACCTCTTTCTGACGGCCAGCCATACAGCCGCTAATTTCCCCAGGATGATCGCACTAGCAGTTCTTACCCTCACAGTCCTCCACCCTGGGTTCTTCTTCGGCTCTATCCGAAAGGGTCCCAAGAACCAGCCCTAAGCATCGAAAGGCGCTTCCCTTCTTTGTTTCTATGTATACCATCCTTGTCCATTTCGAAATGCTTCTCGCTTAGCCGGAGTTCGGGTTATAGTACATGAGCATACCGCATATACATGATTGACCTATAGAGCATATTCTCAAGGATACTACCCTCAGGCGGGAATACTACAATCATTTTGCCATGAGAATGGCTGCTTAACTTTATTTCATGAAGGGTTACCCTAATCATCGATGAGAACTGCGAATACTCAGCATAACCAAGCATATAAAGTGCAGCGCGCTTATCCCAAGCCGTGATGCCATAATGTGAGAATATGAATCAAATTCAACTCCAGACCGGTAACACACAACAAACTCCATACCAACAAAAAAATAGCCGAGAGATGATGTATGGACCATAGAACAACGTATATAAACTGAACCGCCCATTGACCGGTTCATCATGCACATAGAACAAAAGAAAGAGCACCGAAAACCGCGGCGCTATCGTGCTGGTCAACAGTAAGAAAGGAAGCCCTCGAAGAAATTATCAAGCGTATTGTATGCAGTCGACTCCAGCTAATGCGCTCAATCCTCCCCCAGACTCTCCCGGACACACCTGCGGACTCTTTTCTTGAACTCGGCCGGGTCTTCCCTCCATAGCCGGGCGGCCTCCACGTTGGCCGGGCTTTCGTCGTTCGGACTCGAGAGCATGGAGATGACGGAGAGCAGGATGGTTTCGGGCGTTTGGACGGGGGACCAGCGCTCCGCGGCGGACTCGTAGCCGTACTTGTCTTCTTCTGGGGGGTGGAGGATGGAAATGCAGACTTCGCCGTTGGGATAGACTAACAGGAAGAGTGTCTCAGTATCATCGCACACATAAAACCGACCACGAAGTCGGTAAGAGGTCAAGAGGCAAGCTTACTGTTCGGGTGGAAAACGGGACTTTCAAACTTCATTTTCGGCGGCATGTGCGGATACTCGGGAGGGAAAGACAGTCGAGCACGGAAGAATCCCCCTGTTAAACAACGTCAGAATGTCTGCAAACAGCTTGATACAGTGCCCAAAGGACTCTCCTCGTCATCCGTTCGGCAACTGAAGTGGAAAAAAGTCTACTCACCCCCGTACAACTTGACATCGTCCGAAATCATGAGCATAACCTCCCACTCGAAAACATTGTTATCCACCAGCCCACAGCTAATTCCTGGAATGTCCTTATCTTGTTGCATCTGCTGCAACTGGCGTGCCAGCATACGACCGGCCGGTGTTGTGGCCATGGTGGGAGAGATTCGATCTGGCACTGGCCACCACAAAGGTAAGAAGGGGAGTGGAGCGAGGATTCGGTGGACGTTTGGCCTCAGAAACAAGAGGTAGAGGAGGAAAATAAGAAGTGATGTGTCTTTGTGCCTAAAAACGGAATGTAGAAAGAAACTGTGATACGTAAAATAATGAACGGTGTGCAGAAAGTGAAGATTGGTTGGGTGGGGAAGCGGGGCTGCCTATCACTAACAGATACCTTGGAAGAAAGGCGGATATGAGATGTCAAGAACGATAAGAGAAGTCAGAGATCGTCAGGGACTCGAAGCGCGGATAAGGCACGAGAATAATGATAGGCTATAATCGTGAGAACAACAGATGTTCCTTTCGAAGACTAGGGGTAATGCATAAGGATAACCAACAGGAAGAGGAGAGGTGAGAACGGAACGGCAAGTGGCTGTTCTGGCGAGGGGCAGCCCTGTGACATTCGGCCCCATGAAGTCAGCGTTGAAGCAGTCTACGCCGCCACAGTCACGCAAGACGTTTTGCCACTATGGTTCAACTGCAAGTCCACATTTACGTCGGGGGACATTATCTAGTTCTACGTGGAAATATGATTGATATCACAAATTTTCGATATAGTCATATGCAAAATGGCAGCTGATAGATTGACATTAAATAGAAAAGATAACCGTAAAGATCCGAGATGAGAAAAGCGTAGAATGTCCACAATATGTGCAGCCGAGTTGAGATGGATATCCAATTCAGAATGACATGTACTTAAGCGCCGCCGCCGTTGCGAGCGACCATGTCCGCAATGATCTTCATGAAAGACTCAGCTCCCATGTAGACTTCGCCCGCGAGCGCCAGCGAGAAGAACACAAACACCCCGAATTCAAGGGCCATGACTTTGCCAACCACCTTTAGAAAACGAATCCGAGAAGCGCGGTCGAAGGTCTTCCAGGCATCGGTGATGCTGAGCTTACCGCTGCCCCCGAGAATAGCAGGAGTCACCTTTCCGCCGAAAGAGCGATCGAAAGGCACAATAGACTCGTCCTCTTCGGGGAGCATGGAAGCGGCGACACGGATGAAGATCACACGAGCAGGAATGGACGCAATCAGCGAAAGCAGAGAAGGAAGCGCGACAACTGTGAGCGCCTGGCGAAGAGCCTCGGCGGGAGGGACACCATCCTCGGGGGCGGACGCCAATCCATCCAAGCCGCCACAAGCCTTGGTCAGAACGAGAGGAACATAGAATGCAAGACCAGCAACAGCATGCTCAAAGGCCACAACGGGTGCGATCTTCAACCAGGCCTTGTAGCCAGGGATACGCTGATAGAAGCGCTTAGGGGAAGGCTCCGAGATGACAATGTGGACCCAAGCCAACTGAAAGTTCGCCAGGAGAACACCAACAACCATTTGGAAAATGAACTGTCCAACAAACTGGTCCATGGCCAAGGGCATCATACCCAGCAAGAAACCCCGCGCGAAAAGATATGTGAGGAACATGCTCAAGCCGCGGAATCGAGACCAGGGACCGGCACGGGCGCGAAGGTGCTTGATGGTGGTACGGAGCTTGCTAGTGACGGGCTTGGGAGGCACAGCTGCCAACTCGGGTTCGACTGCATCGACGGGCTTGTTGGGATCCATGTCACCGTCGATGCGGACATAGATATCCGGGTTGCTATCTTCAACCGCAGCGAGAGTGGTGACGACCATGCCATAGGTGTACTCGATCTAGATTACAACTCATTCAGCAATAATCCTTTCTAAGCAATGCTATCTTGACGAAGTTCATCACTCACCGACCAAGAAATAAGAACAAAAGCAATCAATGTAGCGAAAAAGAGAGCGACGAGCCATCCCGACAATTGGATCTCGGGCGGTTGCTTGGAAGGCTGCTTTGGGTGCTTCTGGAACTGCTCGGAGGCAAGCTCCACACCTCGACGCACGAGGGAGCTGACAACCATGATGAATCTGTGTCAAAATGAGGGCCAAACGTTGTCAAAGAATATAAAGAAGAATAGGTGATGGATGATTTTGATGTACGAGAGAGAGAGAGACAAGTAGTTGGATGGCAATAAGAATCAAACAAAGAAAAGGTAACGGGGGCGTCGGCGATTTTATCTGCTCACAAGCGGGCGGCAAGCGGATCACCTAGTCCAGGCAGGCGAGCAGGCTAGGAGGCAGCAATGAGGCTGAGACTCTGACTCGGGGTTTACGGATGTATCAACGCCAATGAAATCCTAGGAGGGCGCAATCGGTTGCATGATTCAGTCCTATCAGATCCATCACTCTCATCCTGGAGTTACCTGTAATAGCCATCGATCCTTGCCCTGAAGCAGGAACCTTAGGGAGCAGCGCAATCAATGCCGTCAGCAGGCTTCTTCTACCAAACATCCCAATACCTATTCATAACACCAGTACTTTAATTTGGGTTGAGTCACTGGATAGAGCCTTGATCATCATCGCGACCGATCTTTATTCCCTAGCTATTTGTCTATTGACTCTGCTAACTGAGCTTCGAGCCCGCCGTACACCATGAACATCAGCAACAAGAGTGAGCTCGGACTCCAGACCAAGACCTCTTCATGTACCTCAAAAAAACGATTGGTCCAGATCATCATTCCTGTCAGCATGGCGCCAAATGTTTCAGAAATCAAACAGCCTTCGCTCGACGGTCGCATAATGAAGCTGATTGCGAATAGACCAACAGAAAATCATCATCAAGTCTATAATAGTAAACAGGATATCCGGGCTTCTATGGTCCCGTACATAGCAGAGCAAAACTGGCAAGAAACGCAAAATATGCACTCTCAGGGCCACGAACAACGTGAAGTGGTATATATACAGTATCCCAACGGACGATTCACCCTACACAATCGAATCACCATTCCCTTTTTTTATGTCCATTAAGTCTCGACATCTAGTCGAAGAATTTCTTCATAAACTGGTGCGCAAGTTCGACGCCGGCACTATTCGTCGTTAGTAAACCCAAGTCATCGCGAAACTCGGGTAAATCACATACAATGTAGCCGCATTTGCGGGCACAGCTCTGGCCAGGGCAGGACCGAATCCAGGGAAGAAAGCCTTGAAGCCACCGTTGGCGTAGACAGACCGGATGGTGCCACCGATTGTGGGCTTGCCGGGGGCACTTTGGAGACGCGACTTGATGGTGTCGACAGGGAAGACGGGGATCCACATAGCAATACCGGCAGCACCACCGGCAGCGAGAACGGCGGGCATGGACAGGTCACCAGTGACATTGCCGTGCTCGTCCTTGGGGGTCAGGCTGCGCTTGATGTACTCGTAGGCGGCGAAGTAGGCGGCGGAACCAGGGCCATCACGTGCTAGAGTCATGGCGCTTCCACGGAAGACACTCCGAATACCGCCCTCCTTGTATAGTTGCCGGACGACATCCAGACCACCAGAGTACTTGGGCTTCTGTCCCGGAGGCGGAGGGTTCTGACCCTGAATCTGCAGAAGCACCTTCACTCGCTCAAAGGGAGCCGTGATCAGTGTCATGGGAATGGCGGAGAAGAAACCAGCAGCGGAGATCTGGGCAATGGTGTACTGGGGGGTGTTGTTCTCCATGCGCACATCAGAAAACTTGCTGACAAGTGTTTTGCCGACATCATAACCCTATGAGATGTTAATGGTTTCAAGCCAGACGCCACTTATAAGACCAAACACGTACCCAGAAGCTGACGGCGACTACAAACATCAATTAGCTCAATTCTCTGGTTTCCAGAGGGATGCGACGCAAACTTACACATAGGGGTGACTCCAACCAGCGGAGCCGAAACACCAGCATACAATCCCTACAGATCGTTAATACCAAACACCACGCCCAATTGACCGCGCGACTTACCCGCGCCAAACCCTCACGGGCGACAGTCCTCTTGACAACATCAATGGCACCCGAATAGACACCCTTCTCCGCCGTCTGCAACCGCACCTTCACCAGATCAAAGGGATGGCCAACAACCACCGCACATACACCACCCGCCGCACCCGCGACGAGGGAGCGGATCTGAGCAATCGTCTGGTTGATGGCCTTGGCCTCTACGGCCTTGAGCTCATCGCTGAGGTTTTCAGGAGTAGACGAAGATGGGGTCGACATTGTCAAAAGTGTGTAGGGAGACGCGGGGAAACGACTCAGTTACTCCGTAGCGAGGGGGGGAAGGAGGAAGATAAGCAGGGAGAAAAAGAGGTTTAGGTATGCGGCGATCCCCGAGCAGAGCGAAGGGTGAGAGAACGGAGGTTGCGAAACGGTCGCCCAAAAAAAAGAAGAAATGAAGCAGAAGTGAGGGAAGATGGATCAAGAATGATATTCCGCAACAGAAACGAAGGAGAAAAGAGAGTCAACGGGGAAAAAATAGCTCCAATACCGCAACAAAAGCGGCCGAGGCCGAGCAGGAGGATACCGACAAATACCTACAGCACAGCTACCTCTGGCTCTGGTACAACCACCGCTCGGCGAATGCGCGTGACTGGACCTCGGCTCGGACCGGATCAATGTATCTCCTGCGGTCGCAGATTGCTCGAAATGAAATAAGACCGAGTTGATCTTGTCAGCTGCGCTTGATCGTCAAAGTCACCATCATAAAACTGATCTTGTGTCCTCCATATCCTTTCCTGCATCCGGGATTTCCACAGTATTTTGTAACTATCGGATACTCGAGCATGTGCAATGGGCGGTGCCGGGTGAACGGGCACTAAACCACGGCTTAACATTTAAGTCTGTAACCCCTCCACGGATCCGGGATCCCTGCCCCGGATTCCATTACTCCAGGTATTCTGGCCAGTCACACCAGCCAAACGGCAGAGGGCACTTCTGCGGACGACAGGAAGCTTGGCACTATTGGACATCACTATCCTGCGATATTCGAAATTTGGTTCAAGCGACTGGCCTCCTTGACCGATGACAGAAAATATCGATACCAGCTGATGTCATTTTAAAGACATGCTGGAATGCCAAGAAATCACATGCAACAGAGGTGATAGACAAGTTCCGCATCCACATGCGTGCGACCCAGGTTGGTGCCATTCTGCTTTGTCCTTCAATCAAGATACTTCTGATGCTCTTCAGTATCTGCTGATGCGTGATACTACCAATTACGTACTTAGTTACCTACATTAACCGAGCACCTGGAGAGTCTACTTGAGGGCGAGGAAGATACAAACAGTTCACAAATATTAATGTATTAGGATAGCACCACATGTACCGTGGCACCAGAGATGTCAACACATTATTTACTCAGATCAAAATCACCAATTCCCATGAACAAGCCGTCTTTCAACGGCAGGTATCGTCAACCATAATTCATCAACATTAGACATACACTGACATCAGACAACCTATTGCCATTGTCTCAACCTTTGAGGGGTTTAGAGGACAACCAAGGCAGCGAGGGCCAGCGCTCCAACAGCACCGGAACCAACGACAGCGCCGCGAGGGGCAACGTTGCCAGTGGACGAGCTGGAGGGGGCAGTCTGAGTGGAAGAAGAGCCAGAGCCAGAACCGGTAGAGGTGGAAGAGCCGCTGCCAGATCCGGTCTCAGAGGAACTGCTACCAGTGGAGGAGCTGTTGTCAGAGGTGGAAGTGGTGCTGGTAGTAGTAGTCATTGTCGTAGCTGTGGTAGTGGCACCAGTGTTGGAAGCCGTCGTCTCGGAGGCAGTAGTGCCAGTAGCAGAGGCAGCAGTGCCAGTAGTAGATGCGTCAGTGCCGGTGGCAGAGGCACCAGAACCAGTGCTAGAGCCGGAGGCGCCGGCGCCAGCACCACCAGTCGAGTCGCTGCCGCTGCCGGTAGCAGTGTTGGTACCGGTGGCGGAAGAGCCAGAGCCGGAGCCAGAGCCAGAACCGGAGTTAGCTCCTGTGCCAGTGACAGCTGCAGAGTCACCTAACGATGGCAGTCAGCATCTTAGCTCGATCGTGTCGAAGTAGCGCAAGTTCTCATGAGTACTTACTAGGGCAAGAGGCAAGGGCGGTGGATAAAACAGAGGCGGTATTGTCGCCAGGGCAGGCCTCGGCAGTGCAATCTCGGATACCATATCCGTAGTTGACACTTTTGCAGAGACAGTCGGTGTCGCCGCTGGAGCAGCCCAGCTCGCCAGCCTTGTTGTTCATGTTGTTGAGACACATTTGCTGCGAGATGAGTGTGTCAGTCAAGAGAACTTTTGAAGTGGTTCCAAAGCAATTGAATAACATACTGCGCACTCCGAAACAGACATGGCGGCGCTCGCCATGCTGGCAGTAGCCAGCAAAAGCAGAGAAAGAGAGGCCTTCATGATGAAGTATAGAATTTCGAAGATTAAGTGAGTACTAGAAGAGAGATGAATATGCTGAGTGCTTTGAAATAATTAGAGCAACCTTGAGGCCTTCGACGGAATAAGGTCGATGGTGTAAATTGGAGAATTCCGAGGAGTGGCAGGGGAGGAAGGGTGCTTTTTATAAGGTAGCTATAATCCAATGGGAAGATAACCAAAATAATCCCGCTTAAGTTGACAACAACTGAGGCTTCGGGGTTTTCCAATGGCCCTAGAGATCCATTCTCTCGAACGCGATCGCCAGTGTTGTCCACCTTCCACCTTGACCGAGTCTGTCCGGCTGAATGCTGCCCAGCAACGTGGCTAGCTGGTCTAGTAGTGCAAGGTAGGTACCCACTACTAGGGGGAGGGGATCGAGGCACGGGGCTTGTTTAGCTGCTGGGTGAAGTCATCGATGGGAATCATGGACTGATCAATTTTCCAGGCCCATGGCAAGGCCAAGGATCTTGGTTCTGCAGTATGCAGACTGAGACCGCAAGGTATGGTCTTATCATGATCCCAGCCGCTGTGGCTTGATCCGAATCCACATCTAGCTTATTCATTGGCTGCACTCGCTGGATTTTGGGTTTTAGCGTGTGATAGTCCGATCAAAGATTTGAGATTTGCTCATCATTACGGAATTTGAATCGGTCACCAGCCACACTCTTAGTCCTGCTAGTTGGCTTCAAGCGAAGGGATACGGGGACACAACAGCAAGAGGATCAATCTCAAGACCCTGGTTGATCAGCATGTGCAGTGACAAACGAGCTGTACAACCGATTGAACTGCAATGCCCAGTCAAAACCAAGAATCGTTGCCTGGCATCGTACTTTGTGCCACTATGCTACGTCAATGGCGGCGTCATACCGATTGACCATCGGAAGCACGGGCTGCACAGTAATAATTGCCAGCACAGAAAAAGAAAATAGGTGATGCAGAGGTTGGGGCCTTGGAGGGGCTGGCAAGTTGGAGGGAGTTTTGGATTTGGAGATCGACTGTGGATCTGAACATTGAGTTTGGGTTTCATTTTTCAATCAATTTTAATTCCATGATTGGACGAAAGGTCGGATAGTTCCACCGTCTATGGGAACAAATGATGGAGACTGGAGTAGCTCACTAGCCACATTTCAACCTGAAGCTACCTAAGTAAAAGGTTGAAAGCCGTCGGTGGCAAAATTGGCCTTGGTTCTGAGCTTCCTGGACACTGGACTCCTGCTACCCGCTAACCAGGAGCTATATACTCTGGTAACCATGGATGAAGTCATTACCTTAGTCTAGAAGACAAGAATAACAACTGGGAATTGCGCCCTCACTTGTTAGCTTAACTTGTTTCAATTCAATTATACGTATGCTGTGCAACAAAAGCAATTTACATACTCCATACTAAGTTTCAAAATAACCATTACCTTGCTGTCAAGGCTCAAGACTCACTGAGGAGTACTCCATATAAGAGCCTGCTGGTGCATTTCCCTGCCACTCAGAATGCACGGGATTGCGATTAAGATTACCTATGATGGCTGGAGATTAATTGAAATTCAGACTGCGAGACGCATCATTCTCGAAAAAGGTGTTTGTTATGACCTGGTCCTGAACCTCGCAATAATGGCTAGTGAGGCAGCCACTTTCAGCCATCTTCCGCTTTTACTTGATCGAGACTAGATGGATGTGGCGGTGCTTGTAGAAGTTGCACTTTCCCCGCTGGGAATATCTTCGCGTCTGCCCGATTAAACGGACAGCGCCCACGTTGGGTGCGATTATCTGCTCCCCATCATTTAACATCTGCTCTCACATCTGCTCTCACATCCGAGTATCCAGATGGATTCAGATGGATTGCTAAGGAATGTATTTGTGCTATCTTCCACCTAAATTTGGTCGGTCCATCCATCAGCCGAAATTCTGAACCACTGTGAAAAACTATCAGATTCACCTGACCCTAGTTTCCCATCAAACACCCCAAAAGAATTAGCATTCTTTAAGCTTCATGGTGGATATCAGTCGGGGTACCCGGCTCACTGATCAACCTATGTTACACTTGCAAATTTTGGAAGCAAAAGATAAAGCGCAAGCAATAATCTACCCTTGTGTCGTTACAATCAATCCCAACGCCCATTATGAGCATTGATGTCATGCAAGATGAGCTTCAATCAATGTCAGACGACGTTTGATCTGACACCTTCAGCCTAACCTGCTGTTTTCATCACTTCCGCTGTCACTCTCACGTGGTATGAGTGCTTGTGTAGTGCCAAGCATGAGCGAAAGCTGCGAGATATTTTATTCATGTCCACGCAGCCCTTTTGACTAATACTGCCGCAAAATGCCATTGCTGGCCAGAGGTGTGTACCTGTGGTCAACAGCCAGCTCGTGTATGGAAAGGCTCTTTTCCCCTGAAAAGGGTAGTTTGGAGATATGGAACCTCTCTTGAGGAGGGTTTGAACGAACTTCTTGACAGCCTTGACAGTAAACCCTGCATTCCATTATTCCATCCCCATACCACTCCACTTCCGATGATTCTCGTGTCTGAGCTGGACATTAGACAACGGAGGTAGCTTCTAGTCTGAAGAGGAACAGACCATGAAGCGAAGGGGAGGTCATCATTTGCACTAAGAGTCGATATATCATTGATTCAGGTTTCTTCTCGCCTAGGACCAGCATGGTCAACCCCGCAGTCATGTCCAGATGCGGTTGCATTCCAACCGACGGAATCTCACCTGTTCGCATGAAGTTGCAACAGAAGACAAGAAATCATAAGCATCAAAGTACAGGGCATGAAGTCGAAGCGCCGATGCTTAGCTTGCTTAAGTTGTGTGGTAGATTTTAGCAAGATCAACCCTTGCCATACATGCTCACACCATTTGATGGGGATGGAACAGCATTTCATTTCCAGGGGCCTTTCATTGGCTGTAGAATGGTCTATTTTAATGCTCAAGGGGATTTGGAGTATCTCACAACAATCACAGCCAGCACTAGATCCCGGTTCAACCTGGAGAGCTTGCTTCTCAGGGCTCCGGAGCCAGACGGAGAATTATCAGGCCAAGGAACGCCTGGAAATCAACGGCCCGCTTTTAGACTCGAACTCTTTTGAGAAAACCAGGTGTTCGGTTTGTTCTCAAAGCGGATCATTCTTTAGGATGCAACCTGAACCCACCCCTTGGAACTACAAACTTCCTTCGTCCTCTGGACATACCATTGATTCGGAGCCTGGTCCAAGCGTTCGGCGAATTTTACTACGTGAGCCGGAAGAATAAGCTCTGGTTCCGTTTGAATTAAGGTAGGGACGTTTCTCCAGTTGCGGTCCGCTCCCAGAAACGTCATGCTCAATGATGACCCGGGCCGTGGTTTCGCTTGGCCTAAATGTAACCAGTTATTTTGGAGCTCCGACGGATCGAGTCTATGATGTTTAAGACCTGCAATGAATCTAGTTTTGGCTGTTCGACTCGGGGGAGGTAAGACAGTTAAAAAGAGTGGCAGATTCACCCATTGTCGTGCGTCAATTTCACGCACGAAGATTTGGTCAAGTCAGTCCTTTTCCGCCTGATTGTTTTAACTATCCACTTCAATCGAGCATCATAGCGGCAACACTACCATGGCCACTTCACGGAATGCTAAGGCCACCTTACTGGCGTTGATTCTCTTGGTCGACATATTTTCATTCTCCGCTCTTGTCGAAGCTAGACCTATGGCCATAGCGCAACCAGATTTTGTGAGTCCCTTGCGAATAGAGAGCAGAAGTCATGTCATGTCCATCGCTGACACCTGGCACAGGAAGGTTACCATGGCAGGCTGGGACAGGGTGTAGCCGCTGGCCTCGCCGAGGAGCTCAGCTCGCAAGAAACGTCTGGCGGTAACCAAGACGACAGCGTCACGCACATCCAGCCCAGACAACAGTCTGATATCGACAGCACTGCCACTGGTGACACCACTACGGGAAATGCCGCCACAGGCAATACTCTATCAGGAAGCACGACATCTGGAAACACTTGGACCGGCAATAGCTTTGCTGGAACAGTTGGTTCCGGGATCACAGTCACTTCATCCGGAGGCGGAGGTGGAGGTGGAGGCACTTCTGCCTCGCAGTCGAGCCCTGGCTCTAGCTCTCCAGGTACGGGGGCGAGCGGGTCTGGCACTCCAGCATCTGGTGATGGCAGCGGAGGCTCTGGCTCTGGCTCAGGAGGTACAGGATCCGGCAGTGGAAGCTCTACGGACAGCTCTGGAGGCAGCGGGGGCTCTGACTCTGGAAGTGGTAGTTCTTCCACGCCTGCAGATAATAGCAGTGCATCTACCCCCAGCAATTCTGCAGGATCTGGAACAGGTACGGGGAGTTCTGGGTCTGGAGGCTCTACTGGCGGCGCCTCAGGAGTCTCCACAGCGGTCAGTAGCGGTTCCGTCAGCGTGAACGTGCCAGCCTCCGGCGGCAGCGGGGTTTCTGTTAGTACAACGCGGTCGACTACAGAAGATCCCGCGCCTGGGGGCGGAAACACCAACACCAACAGTGGCGTCAACAATGGAGCGACCAACACCGGCAGCGGCAGCGCTGTCAATGTCGTTACGGGCTCAGCCACCGGCGAGAATAGTGGTGGCGGTAAAAAGGCCGAAGACAAGGGGACGATCAGTACGCTACTTGACAAGCTGACCGAGATCATCCACACTTTGCGCTGAACTTGGCAGTGCCTGGTCAATTCACGATTCTACTTGGCAGCAACGTTATTCTACATGTCTATCTGACCGCTTCCCTACATCGACCGATCAACCAATGTACCACATAAGCATACGTGTTCACCAAGAACCATCTGACATCTCAATTAAAGTTTAGTATGCTGGTAGTGTAGCGATAACTTTGACACTCCGCGACGATCCGCACCGGTCCGTTGTGGAGCATTAGGTTGGTATGCATTCTTGACTTCAGCATCCGCCAGTAGTCACTCTGGAATGCAACATCACATTCCGGTAGCCTCAGCCCATAGCTGATTTGTCCAGCCCTGCTTACTTGAGGGTAATCGGCTTTGCTGTTTGCAGACAGTACCCTGACAGCCGACAGGAGACACGAGACGTACATTCATGCTGTATTAGATTCTGTGGGCAAATTTATACGAGTAATTATTGAATCTGGCAATCTTCAAAAGTCAAATAATGTATCATTATGCAAATTGACCAAGCAGGGGTATCCGCAAGGTATACCCGTCAATACCTAGTATCCTCATCTCTACGCCCAGCTCGCGCGCTGCCTCCAGCAGCCGGACCCCCGGCTCCTCGATCGGATGGTCTTGCCCAGGCGGTGGATGTAGGGAGGCCAGACAGCGCAGCGAGGTCTCGATTCGAATTGCTTCAGGCAGTACGCGGGTGACGCGTCGATCATGGCCGGGGTGGTCCGCACACCGAATTTGGTGGAGAGGAAGTCTAGTCTAGTCTAGTCTGGTCTTGTTTTGTAGGCGGGTGTGCTCCGTGCGCAGCAGTATCCCAACGTCTCTCCCCTATATGCTTCCAGCTTCATCAAAAGCGAATGATCACTCCGGGCCAAACGCGCGTTCGCGGTGCATACTCCGCTTGCGCCAATCGTCCCGGCCCTACCTTAGACGATGAACAAGGAGTTCATTACGGCGTAACTGGCGCAGGGGAAGTTGCTAAAAGATGCCATTGTAGTCTGAGCTCCATGACGATGCAGGTAGACCGCAATTGAGAAGAACTGGATGTTGAAGGAGGAACATTTTTTATACCCGTATCTCTAGGTTATGATTGAACTCTCGCTCATGCCGTACTGTAGTTGCTCTCTTCCGCTGTTCATGTCCGATGTTATTCCCACAAACCTAACAACACACCAAAGGATATCCCAGACGCAGACAATTCTATTAGAGATGGATGTACTCCACTGCAGCTAGATGTCATTCTTTTGTCCTCAGTTCTTTGAACCGCTGTAGCCCATTTCGTTCTGGTCCTGCCACATCTTTACTCTGAATTTGGCAGTTCCGAAACATTTACGTAGACTTTGCCCATCAATGTACAGATTAGAGTTGACCAGGCAAGTAGCAGACCTCTCTGCAGCCTTAGGAGAAGTTGGTGATGAAGGCCGCGGACATTAGCCATTTCCTAATATGGCAAGGAGTGGACCCGACCCAGACTTTGACAGCAAAATTTTCCACCACGAAAAAGGGCAGCAAAAAGATATGCCAATGACCTACGCAGGATTCGAACCTGCAATCTCTTGATCCGTAGTCAAGCGCCTTACCATTGGGCCAGCAGGCCTTGTTGAGGTTGAGCAAAAATATATCGACTTATAGTCATACTCTAACGTAGGAATGGCTCATGAGCAAAGTGGTATATACAAATTCATCACAAAAGAGAAATCTATGGTATCCATGTAAGGTCATACACCCAGCCACCGCGACGCTCGACTTAATCCCTCCTTTTCCGAGAACCCCTCCTCCAGCTCCACAGAGTCAATGGTAATAGCAGGAACCTCGCGATACCCCCTCCCCCTACGGGCATACCAACACCGACACAACGAGATCATCACCCTCCCAACCACAAACCCAACCAGACACGCACACAACCCCGCCGCAACACCCAGCAACGCAGGGAGGATCACCGGCCGCACGAGCCTCATGAAGCTGCGATCGCGGCTGCTCCACGGCATGGTATTGTGGTAATGGGACGCGGGGTCCTTGAACCGGTAGATATCCGCATGCAGCGGCCGGCGATGAGGACGCGATTCGCCATCGGGGGCGGCACTCCCAGCCAGCTTATCCAGGTAGGGCTTGATGTGCGATTTGAAGAGCCGCCAGGTCGACGTCATGTGTCCGTGTCTGTGGAACGGGCTCCGCTCGACCTTGCCGATGCTGAGAGTGCCGTCTTTGCGTCGGGAGACGGCCACGGCGACCAGATCGTGTGTGACGGACCGGCCGTGGAGATCGAATAGTCGCAGTTTGAGGAGGAATGTCTCGCCCAGGAGGGCGCCCGGCTGGGCGGGGAGAGGGCGTGCGTCGAGGCCGTATGCGACCAGGACGGATTGTTTGCTGGAATCCCACTGTTTGACTGCGGGGAATTGCATGGGCAATGAGGGTGGGAAGACGGGTTCGTGGTTGGCGTATAGGGTGCCGTTGTCGGTGGAGAAATCAATTGTCTGTGAGGATTAGTATCATTGTATCAGAAACGTTCGAATTGACGTACCACGTGTGATCTTGACTCGGGGTTTTGAGAGCATTCAGCGTCTGAGAATGCACAGGGAGAGCAGGGAATGTCGATTTTGTAGAAATGGCGAGTATGTTGGATGTTTGAGGTCTGTATATCGGAGATGTGGTCCTTAGGGGAGAGGGCAGCGACGCCACTGCCCAAGCAGATACCCGCTAGTGAGAAGAATCGTAGCAACATGATGATTGTTGAGAATGGAAGTCGTAAGGAATGTAGCAAGGCTATGTTTGGATATAAGAGCGCATCCAGCGCTTAACAACCTCGAATATCCTATGCGGCAAGTGGCCAGGAATCAGATGGTGAATAAAGAGCAGAAGGGAAATGTCGGGTCTAAAAGGGATTGTAATGAACGAGTGAAGCGGCGGTGGTGGAAAAAGTGGCTTTTGTGGATGACAACGTGCTCATCTCATAATGAGGTGATTTGACGCGGGGAAGGCACAAGAGAACCTAAATGGGCGGAACCGTGGAAGGGCAGGGAAAAGGAAGACTGCGGGCAGCCTGGCAGTCTTATACCTACAAGGCTGCAAAATTAGGAACTAGCCTAAGGTACGAGATCACAGATTTGGGGCCGGAAGACCAGCGCGAAACGGCGAGGCAGATCGATAAATAAAGAGCCTTGAGGTTATTGTGCTCGGACTGAGACATGCGACCCAAGGCTGGTGTTGTACAGCCTCAATGACACGAGCCGATCACTTCCTCGTCCTTGGCATGATCCTGTACGCTCATCCAACAGTGTTCCTGAGTCCTTACACTTACATAGAGTAAGTCTGAAGTTCTATTGGAATGCCAACGAGACCAAGAGAAATTAAGATTCCTGCTGCCTGGAGGTGCTGTGGAGTGTGACTACACATTAAATGAGCTTGAAGAACTTAAGACACAAACTAATCATAATAAGTACTACCTAGGGTCCAATGCTCCTAAATCCAATTAAACCGGACCAAAGATTGATCAGCACATGCCAACAGCACAGCCTCCTATTGGGTGTTGGTGGTTGGTTATTGCTCATACTGGAGGTGTACCTGTTGAGTACCAAGGCTCATACAGATGGATATCCAGAGATGCTCAAATTCTACCCTATGCTAATGTCAGAAATGCACCACAATTCCAATCTGAAGGTGATCCAAATCAATAGGGGCAATGTCTCGGAGATCACCTAAGACACCGGCTAACTATTGTTAGCAACAGCTCAGACAACCAGAGTTACCAGTAACCAGACCATTTGACTTGTCTCATATGTCAGAAAAGTTTATCGTCTTCTTCCCACAGCTGTGAAAATGATTGGTCAAGAACATTGAGGGATTAAAGTGGTCCAATTGAATCTGGCCCAAAGAAAGCTTAGCAGGGAATCTCAACCAGGGAACCCGCCGAGAGGAACATTTCTGCCTGCCAGGGGTGACTACCTAGATAGTACCTAGTCTTTTAGGCAGGCACGGAAACTCTGATAGGATGCTAGAAGAGAATTTGGAAGTATCCGATTGAGGTCAGACTCATGCTGATATCACTTGGATACAGTGTGTTGGCGCCAGCCAGTGTTTCGGCCCCCGAGGCTCCCGAGTACATTGTCCGGACGCCTTTTAGTCTAGCGGTATTGTATATCGATAACAACCAAGTCTACGGTAGCATAGTAGAATACAAGTGCGGTTATGATCTCTGACAGCTGGGATGCCACGTTCCTGTCGAGCCTGAATTCAATCTCATCTTTACCACCCCTCGTACTTTGGGCTTTACGATCCATTTCTGAGACCTATGCTGGGACATAACCTTGGCCCCGTATGTGTCGCTCAGCTACATCTCGAAAGATATCAACTGGAGGTCTCCACATGTCGTTCGGGTTTCTGCCGGCGGTATTTGTGTTGCCAAACAGCTCTCCTATGCTGATGGCGACCTCCTGTGGAGGATTGCCCGGAGGAGGACCGGGGAAAATTGGCTGCAATGACACTGTTAATTGATGATTACAAGAATTGATGTTTAGGAAATCCTTACGAAGATCTCAGGCGCTGGTTGATTTTTTTTTTTTAATTCTCAACTCAGCCTTTCACCCGAGATTGGCTTAATGCGGACCATTTAATAAGGACGACCACGGTGATGTGTGCGGCCACAGATCTTTATCACTGAGCAGAACACTCCTTCCATAGAGCTAGTGCAAGGATATCCACACTAAAACACCACAAGATGTAATTGATAGGGCATTAATACTCGATACACAGCCTGTATGGAGCTATAAAAAGGTTAGAGGACATCTATAAAGAGAATATATAGTAAGAATAAGGGAATACTCACTTAAGGAAGAATATATTTGAAGGAGCTGGTTCTGATTCTGAATTTATACACTAGGAATCTCCAGACCTCTCTCTGCTCTGGGGTGGTGCAAAGTTCAAGCAGAGCCATGTTGCCACCAATCTGATGAGATGTATCAACTTCCACGATCTCAAAGAACCTCATAGCCAAGTATCCGTCGCGACCAACAGCGGTGGTATCGTATGCTTCACGGCCAAAGTAAAAGGTCGTACGGGAATGGCTTGCCGTAGCAGACGGGGGTGGGACTCAGAATACTTGTCGGTGATTGTCGGTAGAGGCGAGCCGCGGGGCGTCAGGTATAGGTCTGGCTCTTTCCAAAGACATCTGCAGGAGGTTAGATATGCAAGAAGCCAAAGACGACGTAACATACGAGAGTTTGGAGCGAACTCAAATGTCATCGTTTCTCATCAACGGCTAAGAAACCCGACACAACCGCCCGTGCGACTTCGGCTTTTGCCTAGGTTTGATGAGACGGCCGGACGCCGCCTTGACTGCTGCCAGGAAGAACGGCAGCGCAGCCGTCCAAGATACATAGCCAGGATCTCCTAGCATCAGCCAGAGGCTCTTTGCGGAACGGTAGTCCGCCCACTCTTCGGCCGAAGCCCTGGCGCGAGGATAGCGGACATGACCGAGCTCCGATTGACGACCAACCAGGAATTGGGCGTACTGGGTGGTCTACTAAACGCCAACGAAGAAGTTACAAAACGCACCCCACGGGACCCGTCAACGTACCTTTTGTGTCTTTTTGTTCCCAGTCATGCCGCGATGGGAGCGATGAGGCTCGATGTTATGGAACGTGTTGACCAGGGCCAGCAAAGCTTCGGTAACATCTTCGCGAATGCCAGCCGTCCAATCCTGCTTCATTTGCAGCGAGAATGTCCTTCTTGACTTGGATGAAGAATCTTTGAGGGCTCAAAGTTGGCTCTGCAGGCGTTTGGCTTCTTAGTGATTGTGAGTGGTAAGGGGAAGGATTGAGATGGATGGACTAGGTTATAAAATGATTAGCAGCAGGGAAGGAGTGAATTGTTTAGTGCTTAGTATCAAATCAGTTTGGCAGTAGTGAATGAAAAAGATGTAATGATTACAGAGTAGAAACTTGCAATAACCTCGCTGGCTATCGATCAAGTTAGGCTATTAAATTCACTGTCAGCAGAGAAGTAGGAGTACTATATGATACATTGTTCAATGTTCGTCAACCTCTCGGACCTTATACTCAAACATCTGATTTGAGGGAATTTTGTGTTCATTCTCCAACTTCTCCGCGGTTTGCACACCAGCCGCAGGGACTTGATACTCGAATCTCTTCCCCCGGCCTGGGAGCCTGCCATCGGGCAAAGCATAAGGGTAGGGGAGGTATTCTGGCATCAGGCCCAGCTGCACGAGGACCGTCGCCTGATCCCATGCTATGTGCTCGTGGTATAGACGATCCCCGCGGATATTCACTACTGATGTGAATGGTATGCGGAGAGGCTTTCGCGTTGGTGGTATGCCGGGGATACTATAAGATGTTAGGCAGGCTTCACTCGCAAGAGTAGATGCAGGCAGAGCTTACAGCCAGTCGATCTCCTTGTTATGTGTGAGGGAGAATATGAACTCGTCTACGACACGGTCGATACCGACCGTCCGACTGATAAGTTCCAGGGCTGTGTCATCGGGATTATTGAAGATGAAATGATTCAGGTAGAAATTGCTCAGTCGCGCACGGCCAATTCCACCCGTCATCTTCCAGTGTCAGTATCTTAGATGCGGTAGGAATGGGTCTCTTACAGTCGGAACATGATTCACATAGGGCTCCTGGACCATTGTCGCCATGGTCTTCTCTACCGATCGGTCCCCGAATTCGTAATAGGTGTGCTCCTCCCAGATCTTCTCGAGATTAAAGTAAGGCCCGTCTAGATGCTTCTTCAAGAAGCTCAATGACCGGGTATGGGCTACTCCTGCGGTCGAGTACTTGAAATCCGCATGACCGGGTACAATGAAGCCAGCGGACGAGACGTCAGGGTACGAATACACAGTGCGGCTGTCTGTTTCCTGAATTCCATTGCTAGCCCCAGGCGCATGTACCAAGGCAGGAATCTCGGCGAGCGTATCCCAGATACCGAAATATACCACGGCTGCTACCCGAGCAGCTACGATGGCATCCAGAATCTTCACAAACCCCGGCGCATAATCAGCTGGGGAACCATAGACTAAAGCCCATCAGTATCCTATCGGGCACTTCAGGCATATCTGTGCATACGTAGCAAACCAAACTGATCCTTCTTATCACATTCCGGTAGTGAAATAAGCCTCTCTATCGCTGTCTTGACAAAATCAAGTACACAAGCCTCGTCGCCACTGGATTCCGCGTCAACACTAATCTGAACTATCGCATAGCTCTCCTCAGCCCATTTCTGCAACGGCTCTGGATCTAGACTTTTGTTTTTCTCCTGGCATTCTGCGAAATGGCTTGGTCGGATAAGTATCAGTCCCGGTCCATGGCCGCAGCGGGAAAGCGGGGGCTGTAAAACAACGCGGGGGTCCAGCTCAACTCGGGGAGCGTAGGGAAGGGAAGTAGAACAGGAAGTCATTTCGATGCAAGTAATGATTTGGCAGCTAGATGCTCTCAATATACATGAAATTCTGTTGAAATGGTGCTGTCAGGTTTGGGAGATCTCGGGAGACATGAACCCTTCTTCCTGCGACCTATTCAACAAACGAGAAGCAGGAATCTGATATGATCGAGCGGAAATCAATGAATGACGTCTCAGAGGACTGTCCGTTGAATATCAAAGGACCAACATGGCGACTTGGTCAATCGGATCACATGGGCATTTCACCCGGGTCTCGGCAAAGTGATCCGCGACATCAAGATAGGCCAACACTGACTATTGACAGATAGTATTTCCTCTCAAAGTGATGTTGAGAGGCATATCCGATCATTATCAGATAACGATTCTTAAGATATTCGCCAGTTTGTTAGAAACTGTACTCAGAGTACCCCCGAAGAGACGACGCCTTAGATGATTGGCACGTGATGCGGAGTTGCTGTATCACGTGAATCACACCTTACTCATTTGGGCCATTGCTTCATTCCCTTGGATCCCAGTCAACATTCAAGCTCCAGTCGCATCGCAACCGGTCAATGCAGATAAATCACTCGAGTATTTTTAGTTTCTAACTTGATAAATCTGCGTTATTCTCATCTCCACATCATTTCCTGTCGATACCTCTCGCGACGCGGCGATCAACTCAAGCTCAGGCAATCTCTCACAAATCGTGCAGGAAGGACATCAAGGATACACTCAGAATGAACGTCGAGTTCCAAAAAACTCTTTCGAATCTGGAAGATAAACTCAATGCCCTTATAACGAGCCTTACAATTTCGCCGACCGCCTCAGGAGCTCCTGCAGCCGCAATTGCACTGCTAGATGCGGACGACTCGCTCACATCTGCCATTGAGACGCTTCGCCGGCACCAGGAGAACTACGCCAGAATACTAAAACTTCGTGCGGAGGCCGAGAGTCTGGAGGAAAAGGTCAAAGGGATTGTGAGAGACGTCGTGAGCTACGAGAAGGAGATTCGAACGATCTGCGGTGACGACGAGGCGAGCGATTCGGATGCGGATGACGTTTCCGATGATGATGACCTGGATTATGGCGAGGATCAAATGCAAACCAAGCCAGGCGGTCTGCGAAAAACAAAGGAAATCGATTACAAGTTGCTGCTGGATTTCGCGCGACGGATTAGCAAGTATAATCACCAAGCCGCAGCCGATGCAGCTGCCAATGCCACACAGGCCGCCAAAGCACGGGGAAGAGGTTCGCAACCTGGCGACCAGGACATGGCGGTGACGGGTGTAAACGGCGGTCCTGGTGCAGAGGAAGGCGCAGAACCGGTCTCATCCGTCACGAAGGAAGCGACATCCTGGCTTGACGAATCAGCAAAGATGACCCGCCAGGTTTACATGATCCCCTATCCGATGGAAGATCGTATCCGAATGGGTCTAATGGGTCAGATACAGCTGACCGCTGCCGAAGATCGACCGGGGTTTGATCCCGATCGGGAGGTGGAGCGATTGATACGCGAGGCCGAGGGTCTAGGAGCTACAGAGCCGGTGGTGCCTGCACCACTACCTATGGGAGAGGAGAGGAGACATGCGAACGAAGCTGCCAAGGCTGCAGCTCAAGCAGGTGCAGCGAGCAGCGGAATTACAGCCGCACCAGCGCCTGCGCCTAAGCCCAAGGCAACTCTGGATCTTGATCTCTACGACCCTGACGATGATGAAATGATGTGATTGAATTATAGTGCCATTCGAGTACATTCACACGTGATTACGAACAAATTTAGTACAGCCTCTGCATATTGAAAATCCTGGATCAAAGCATCCAGTGCTACCTCCAAAACGGTGGTATGAAGTTACATACTGTGAACCGATGACTTGGCAGTCAACTTCCGGAAACGCTTTCCGTAGAAATAGAACGGAATGGCGAAAAGACACCAGAGGACGGTCAAAGACATATTCAACATGATCGGCTTCACAAAACCACTTTTGATCACCCAAGGGGTGATGAATTCAGCGAATCCATAACCCCACAGGTTCTTGTTGACTGTGATCGACACGAAGATTGAGCCCGCAACGGGCTTATAGCTGTCGACAGCGTAGGTGCTGGTAATGGCTGGAAGAGCAGCTACCTGAATGCCAGCGCAGGTGTACCCGAGAATCACAATAATCTAAACGGCAGTTAGCTTGAAACAAGCCCATTTTGAGTCGCTCTCAAAGCAATGCTGTGAACTGACCCTCCAATCCCATTTATTTTCGTAGCCAAACGCCACGATGAAATTTCCGACTATCATGATGATCACATAGGGTATCATGGCTGGCAATCTCATCTCCGGCTCTCGAATACCTCGGTTCTTCTTTGTGGCCCTCATCGAAATCCAGTCAGACAAAGGCCCATTGGTAGCCAAGCCTATGCCAGCCCCTATCATAATGGCAAAGTTGAAGAATCCGATGGTCTGGCTGTTGAAGTTGTACGGAGGAGCGGCAAAGGCCTGACTCTGAGTGAGGTTCAAGGTCAAGAAGCAACTGGCCGACCACGAGACGGTGAACGCAGCAAGTTCGACTATGGGGAACGTGAGCAGTTTCCACGGAATCCAGAAGCTGGTTAACAATGTCTTGAGACTGTGGTCTGTCAGTTGCCAGATCTTGAATTGCTGCTTGGAGGGATAGCCCTTCCCCAGCCAAGGGTCTGTGTCTGTTCCGCTCTCCGATGCGACGTTTTCCTGCTGCGTGATCTCCACGGGTTTCTCCGGCTCAGAGGCCGACGAGGGAGTCGTCATCTGTTCTTGACCATGCAGTATCTCGGAAGGATGGGTGCGGTGCCATTTGGTTTCGGGGAACAGGAAGACGAGGGCTATGAGGACGACGCCGAGAACGCCGGTGTTGAGCCAGAAGAAGCTGCGCCAACCGATGTGTTCTGCCATGGGACCTGAGATGATGGGACCGACCTAGGGTGAGAAGTCAGTTGAGTTCGACTCATTGTCTCGTTCAGGATGCTTACCATGAGAGAACCAAAATAGAAGGTGAAGTATAGGGTGTTGTATGCTCCTCGCTCGTGGAGGAATAGGATGTCGGCGATGATCTCAGGTTGGGATGTCTATCATTCCTGGTTAACACGATGTCTTGTGTCGTCTTTGAAGTGTCCTACCTCGGCGGGTCCAGCTCCGAAACCGTTCAGGATGCATGCTCCCATGTAACTTCCATAGGAAGTAGCAAGGGCTCGCCAGATGTTACTGACCAGACAGATGAGAGTGGAAAAGATCAGGACCGGACGTCGACCGTAGGTTGTCTGCATTGGAATCCTTCAAGTCGTCAGCCACCTGTCATTTTTGCGATTCTCAAGGACGCACCAGAAGAAATTACTGAAACCAAGAACGAGAATGCAAACGCCGGTGAATTTGACCACGGCGGCCAGATCAGCATCAAAAGACTTCATCAGTTGTGGAAACATCGGCGCGAGCGCCAATGGTCCCAGACCCTGACTGAACGACACTGCCGTGGACATGCATATGGCGCTCATCTTCCAGAACCTGCTCCAATTCTGTGGACGTCAGCGTTTGCATCGACAGGCCATGTTAATGGGCCATACCAAAGGATCATGAGGATCCTGCGACGGCTGTGGCACCAGCACTCGGTCGGACTTGGGCGAGGATTTGACAAAGTGGAGCGAGCCCACATCGGCCATGATCTCCGTTCCGGGATAGATCTTGGTATCGAGCTGCTGCTCGATCCTGCTATGTGTCAGAGGTTTTTCGCCTAGTGAGGCTTCTAACATACTGATGGAGCGTCTGTATGCTTCACGTTAGTGCTGCTGTTCGTGGGCCAGTTGCTGGTTACTTACAGTCTCATCATAATTCATCTCCATCTTGGGCAACTTCACTCGTCAATCAGCAGTAGTGCGTAGTCGAGTGCTAGATACCAGCACTCTTAATCAACCCTCGCTCCTAGGGTCTGATCTTCCTTTTAACATCGAAGGAAGACGAGTCTGGGTTTATCCCATAATGCGGAATTCCCCCGGCATTCAGTACTGTACATTAGCCGAAGGCGATGTTTATACTTTACGAGACCGTGGTCTATATATCGACGTGGCGTTTCAGCAAGTTTAATACTCCCCAAATCCACGAAATGGAATGAACAGGCTAAAAGAGGGGAAACAAAGATGCTCGGGGAGACAACGCAGGAGGGAGCTCCACCACCCCGGATTTCCCCATCTCCACTTCCCCAGCTCATCCATCAGACCCATCCAATCACTTCTTATCTCCTCAACGCCTACCATTGGCTTCTGATATCTTGCTGCCCCGAAGGACCACGGCTTTTGCCCGCTGTGGGGCATCATGACAACCGAGCTTGAACCCGGAGCCAGAAAGGAGTCGAGTCCCAGGCCCAGAGCCCTAACCGCCCAAAGTCCCAGACGCAGGCACGACCGGTTCCCTCCAACGTGAGTTTAACTGTCGTGGTTTTGATTTGATCGATTCGGCCGATAAGCTACTGGCTAGTCGTGTATGTATTGCAGACGTCACCCGGCTTCATCAACCGAGCTGCATTTCCGGTGTGCTTTGCGCAACGGCTTTAGGGCAGGTTTAAGGTTCGAGGTGTATGTCTATCGGCAGATGGAACTGCCGATATTGGTCCTAGCCTAGGCTTGAGGACGGAAATGTTCCTAGGTAGATGTCTCATTCTGAGATTGTCGGGAGCTGATAAAGCATTGACTAATCTCGACTAGTTTGGGTCAGGTAATGGACGGCCAGCGAATCGATTCCATCCCTGATATGAGCCAGCCTTGCCTGGGTAAAGCGATTCGCCACAGCTAGCAACGCCAAGCCTATTCTTGGAGCTATGTCAATGCCTGCCAAGCAGGACGTACACGCTCGGTGTCATCCTAGGTAGCGCACGCCTATACTACGATAAAGGCGACCTTAGGCCTTAGGCGCTACGAAGAGTCGAAGACTTCAACCATCTTAGTAATCGTCATTGCCTTCGGCTCGCTTGTAAGGTCATCCAATATAGATCATCCACGCCGTCAAGGTT